CTGTGGAGCCTTTGATACAGTACACAGCCAAGCCAAACTATTTGCTGCTACAAAGTTTGGTGATGGTAATCAACTTGGAAGACTTTAAAGAGGCGATGGGACACATTCAGTGAGATCAGTCTGTCTGTTCAATAGCTACTAGTCATGATGGCCACATACTGTGGGAAACGGGATGCTGGGAGAAATGTCCAGGTGTGTGGGGCCCGGAGATGCCCGAGTACATTGAGTGCATATGATGGACTTGGGAGTCAAATAATGAGCTGTTAATTTCACAATTGCCCTTTTTTGTCTCTCAGCAAGAAGAAAAATATGTGGACTGTACATCCATAGATTTTGATATTCATTTCTCTTTAGGAAATGTGTGAATTACACAGTGGGAAAAGTAATTAAAACCAATGATTTGAACGGATATTTTGTCTATGCTGATCATAATAATGTAAATTAACTAGCTCCTGACACAGCACAGCAATCCTTCCTCTGGGGAACTACGAAACTGCAAATTCAACAATATGACAAGCCTATTTGCATAGAAACTGTAACACATACTGCCTGCTTATGTAATTTCACTCTGAGTGGACTGAATTAAGTAACTGGTCTTAAATTGTTTTGATTTAAATCGGTCCATCCTGAGTGGAGTGTATTACATTACGACTATGTATTACTGTTTCTGTGCTAATGGATTTAGCATATTGTTGTTGAGATTGCAGTTTTGTAGTTATTCTGGAGGAAGCACAGGAATGTTCGAAACTTGTTTGGAGAACAGTATGGCAATAAGCCACTTTCTGCATCTGTTAATTTCTGCATTTTTTGTTTGCTGCTTAGAGAGCATTGCATATGCAACTTACCTATGCTTTTTTTTAAAATAAGGCATGCTTTGTATTCAGCTTGGACTATGCCTACATAGCCAGTGGTTCTAACATACCAACATCCAGTCTTTGAGCCATGAAAATACCTCAGCAATAAGAGAAGTTAACAGCCATTCTTTTCTATCAAGTGCTGTTTTCTTGGAGGTAAGCTGCCAGCAGTGGACAAGGACAGAAATGGTTCTGAGTGGCACCAGAGGGGCTTCATGCTCTTTCTCTCTCTCCCCCCCCCCCCCCGCTCCTCAGCTTGATAGCAGCAAGGTGTCCTCGGTGGGAGTAGGATACAATTACGAATGGTGAAAAGGAGACTGAAAATTTTATCATTGGGATAATACGTTGTGGGCCATGTAAGATTAAGCAGGGAGTCAGAAGCAATTGAGGTCCCCCCCTCTGAACTAGAAACAGGGGAAAATGCATTTTCTCGGAGACAATGCACGCTGGCCAGAGAATGTGACTGTTACCTAGAGAATGTACAAAGGGGACTAAGCTAATTGGCTGGAGAATGCCCAAAATGTAGTTCAGATATGCACATTCTCCAAGGCCTGTTGGAAATTGCGTACAATGTGCAGGAATGTGCACAACTCCCACTTCATAGATGAAGTGCACATTCTTCACGAAGCCTGGTGAGTCTGCAAAATGGCCAGCTGTCCTGACAATAACAGTTTAACTTAGCATTCCCCCTAATGGCATTAGAGGGAATTGGGCAGCTATTTTCCAAGCCGTCGGCAGGTGGCGCTACTGCCTGAAATAGCAGACCTCACCTCTGGAGAGCTGAAAAGGCATGCTCTGTTTGAGTGTGATACTAATAAGTACCCTTATTTGTTTGACAGTGGAATGGACTCCCTTGGAAGGTGGGGGGCCTCTCCTTCCTTGGAGGTTTCTGGATGGGCATCTCCCATGGGTGCTTTAGCTGAGATCCCTGCATTGCAGGGGGATGGACTAGATGACCCTCATGGGTAACCAGTCAACTGGTTCTATGTTCTTGGACCAGAAGGGGCTTTAGTTTGATGTCAAATGCAATTTCACAGTGCTTAGGCTTCTTATGGAGTTTACACCCTGGAATTTCAACCAAATACAGTGGTACCTCGGGTTAAAAACTTAATTCATTCTGGAGGTCCGTTCTTAACCTGAGACACCACTTTAGCTAATGGGGCCTCCCGCTGCACAATTTCTGTTCTCATCCTGAAGCAAAGTTCTTAACCCAAGGTACTACTTCTAGGTAAGCGGAGTCTGTAACCTGAAGCGTATGTAACCCTAGGTACCACTGTAAGGGTACTTATTTGGGATGGCATTAGGAGTATAAAATTGCTGGTACAGCAGCGTTTAGAATACAGAACAGCATGTGGCTACTTTGTCTAATATCAACACTCGTAAACTCTTTCAAAGACTCTCTGTGTCAAAGCCTGAAAAGGAGATGAAAGTTTTGTCTAAATTACATAGATGAAATGGTAAAGCGAAGGAAAACACAAGCTGTAAAATCTTTCTGATGAATACCAATGATCAAAGACCTGATGTATTTCTGTACTCCAAAAACACCCAACACAAGCAATTTTAAATTTATTTATTTATTTATTGCTGGGAGTTCCTTCAAAGTCTTGCAAGTAGTTTCTCATCATGACAATTTTAATGTAAGCAACTCATTCTCAGGCTTTAATGGGATTCACCCTGGTTAAGTTAAAAGTCGCTTGAGAGGCAGTCTAGTGGCTTCTGTTTACACCAATCCATCTCTCCTGGAGCTGGGGCTTCATTTCATATGGGGGAAAGCAGCCACGGTGGGTAAAAATTGATTAAAGCAAATGCTATTCCATCTGATGTAGCTGTTTCTGCTTCATTTCAGAATAATGTCCCTTTTTGTAAACACACTCTCTGAAGAAGAAAGTAGGAAGTTAGGCAGACTTTAATTTTTTTTTTAAAAAAACCCTGTATTATCAAAGTCAGGAAATAATCATTCTTGACATGATGGCTGGTTGGCTGCAGAACAGATGAGTCTCTGTTCAGGGTGAACTTGCATCATTTTTTACTTGATGTGGGGATTTTTTTTTCAGTGGTTCATCATTAGTGATTCTTCATACATGCATCTCATTGCTTGAATGTGCAAACCTCTCCAATGCGTTAACAAACCAGAGAAGGAAAGGCATTCAACAGCTTCTCAGGTGTTGCACAGCAACGTGGTCATAGAATTTATCCTATTTCACCCTCTGAATATCTCATTTCCAAAGGAAACCTGAACCCCGAGTCAGCACCAGGACCCCTGCAATCTTGCACTGATCAGAGATTGGGGTGGGGGGCAACAATAAGAGCCGTAAAAGGGTTTTTGCACACATATCCTTGTCTGGTTGGGGGCAGGGCTGCAAGGTGTGCAATTCAACAACCTGATTGTTTGGGAGATGAAATCAACCAGTAAGCAGAGACATGAAAAGAAACATAGAATAAAAACTGCCATTTACAATAAATACATCTTTTTAGCAATGTTTTGTCATCACATTAATTCTGAAGGATCAACAATTTCTTTCTTGCAATTCCTGTCCTCCCCCAATGGAGCCTTATTTATACAACACTGTCAGCATTACAGAGCAATATAAACACTTTCCCTCCTTTTATTGCCTGTATCACTTTATTTCCTTTAACTGAAATCACCTTAATAAAATATATTTTTAAAAAGATTGGTCCCTGCCCCAAAGTGCTTACTTACAAAGAGCACGCATAAAGATTCAAAAGCTGACAGCCAGGATTTTCTGTTGGCTGACAAGAAGCAAGCAAAGGCCTGGCAGGGATGGAAGGTGGCCGGCGGAAGCGGAATCTTTCCAGGGGGGCAGAGCTGGTGTTTGTTGCCTTTCAAATGATGCATTTGAGACCACAGATGTCTTGGACCAAAGTAGCTGTTTTTGGGTTCCCAAATCACCTCAGGAGAAGCATAGTGCAACATATTGCCAATGATGAAAGGCCGGAACATCCCTGTGTCCATATTCATTACCAAGGCATCACACAGAGTATTGCAATGGGCTCCCTGTCTCTTTCTACGGCAAAGAGATTTTTATAGGCCTCAACAACAGCAGGCTCTTTGCTTTTAAAAAAAATATTGAGGCAAGGCAGAATTTGACATGATGTCATAAATGATGGCGCCCCCCCCCATAAAATCCACACATAGAGAGGATGGGGGGTGATGGCTTGTAACTATAGCTTATAGTTACAACACTCTGAAACTAAAAAGAACTGGCAAAAGAGTATGTAAAAGGAAGGGCATCCTCTTGCCCTTCATTCTGGGAATGTTAATAGCAGCAAGCAATTCTTTATCAAACGTGAGAGTTAAGAGCAGGTTCATGCTGCTTCTCCTGGTGAACTCAATGGAAGCTTAAAGAATCTACATTTAGCTGTTGAATGTGTGCCTTAAGCTGTTGGGACACTGCAATAGCAAAACAGAAACTTACTTTCGTGTGTCTTAAGTCTCACTGAACTTGGAAGTTGGAAGGGCACACAAGGGCCATCTAGTCCAATTCCCTGCAATGCAGGAATTTCAGCGAAGCATCCATGAAATGATAGGTGGCTATCCAACCTCTGCTTAAAAGCTTCCAAGGAAGGCGAGTCTGCAATCTCCCAAAGGAGTCTGCTACACCCTCAAATAGCTCTTACTGGATGTATAACTGGAATCTTCTTTCTTGTAACTTGAAGTCACTGGTTTGAGTCCTAGCCTCCAGAGCAGAAGAAAACAAGCTTATGCCATCTTCCATGTGACATTCCTTGAGATATTTGAAGATGGCTGTCGTATCTCCTCATGAGCTGAACAGTCAACATCTGCTCGAGCTACTTGCCCAGGAGACAACAAGTGGCTTTAATGTCCTCTGATCATTTTGGTTACCCTTTGTAGTGCTACATTATCTTTTTTGAGATGTGATGATGAAATGCTGTGCACAGTTCTGGTTGTCAGAGTGTACAGTGTGGTTGCAGCACAGATTTATGTAAAGGTATTTATGTAAAGGTATTGTAATAATGACAGTTTTCATTTTTATTCCTTTCTTCATTGTCTTTAGGCTTGAAGTCCCCTCTCTCATGGGCAGCATTTTCGACTGCAATTAAATGTGAGGGCAAATTAAGGCATACAGTTTATTTTTGAGACCATTTTGATTCTGGTGTGTAAACTGGTGAATGAAAAACCAAATCTTGACAATGGCATTTCTATTGAACAAGAAATCATTACCTATGATGCCGTGTGGGCAGAGTTCCCATGAGGACTGTTGGAGGGGGTTGCCATGGATGGTGAGGGGAGGCAGGAACGCGGGGCCCAGCACCATCCTTCGGCCTTGTTCAGGGCGGCACAGGCATATACATTCCAGGGACCACACCAGTATTAAATCTGTCAGTCAAGTTTTAATTCATCATAAAGAAGTAAACTACATTGGTATATTTAAGACAAACACTTTGTTTTCTATGCACACTATCCACGGGACAGTCCCTTTTCCAAAATAACTACTTTTAACAGTCCCAGAAAAACACTTCAGAAAGTTTTCACATTAAATCAACTTTCTGTGCTTTCCCCTTTTCTTTAAATTCGTCTTAGAAGGAGAAAAAGAACCATTAAACCTGAAAACATTTACATTGCAAGCCACGTTCGAATGCATAAATTGGCATACAATAACCAATGTATCACAACCGTGTTTTACTTAGTTCACTTTTGTTTGTCAATAAAAGAATATAAAAATCTTGTTCAACAGAGTGTTAAGTGTATTAAAATAGATTTGTATAGTACTGCACAGTTTCTCCCGGAGTTGTGAAAATGGTTGAAGGGACCATGTGCTGCCTAGTGCTGGGCGACCCCCCCAATCAATCAATAAAAAGCCAAATCCCTTGATTTATTGGCACCGTGTGATAGGCCATTGTGAGATGCTTCACCTGTGGAATGCAGAAATGGATTCTTGCTTCAGACCTCCTTAAACACAGGGGCAACATTTAGAGAGGGCCAGTGGGCAGAGTACCCTACGCCCTTCCTTGAGGTTTCGACCACACGCAAATTATTTCTCAGGAGCACTTATATTTCTGGCCAAATCGCTGGTTCTACAGGCTGACTTACTATTGTCATATATATATTTAAAATGGGTCTGCGTCTTAGGTATGCATGCCAAAGGCACAAATCCATTTGTTTAAAACAAACAAACAAACAAACAAACAAACAAACAAACGCTGTGTTAGTATTGAGAAAGATGCTATAATTGTGAATTACTAAAAGTAATGCAACAAATGCTGTTAAAATTCACTGCTACTTTGTAATATAGGACTTCAAATCCTATACAGCAGAGTTGGCTAATCCTTCGTGACCTGAGGGCCACATTTCCTCATAGCCAATCCTTCAGGGGCTGTATGCCAGCTGTCAGTGTGGGCTCTTTGCAGTCCTACACACTTGCAGCCTCCCTCCTCAGCTAATCCATGCAGATCAGCTGAGGAAAGAGGCTGCTGCCCCCTCCCTGGGGAGGGGTTTTTGCATCCTCATCCATGTTGGGCTCTGCCCGCCTCAGCACACACACACTCCCTCTCTCAGTTTGTCACTGCTGAAAAAAATGGCAAAATCTTTGGGGTGCAGAAAAACTGTCTTGGAGGCCAGATTAGGCCCCCCAAACCAGAGGTTATCGCTTCTGCTATGTAAATTTACCTGGGGAAAAGTACCATGGGGATCAATGGCACCAACTTTTGAGTAGACATGTATAAGATTGCATCCTGAATATTCAAGAGTGAATCCCCCAACCCCTGGAATCCGATATGGTGCTCCTCACAGGGTTACAGAATGGGAAGGTTATGCTAAGGGGAAACTGGTTTGTCCACCGCTAACTTCTGAGGTAGGCCTCAGGGCACCAGCAGGGGCCGCTTGGCCGGATGGGGCCAGACTGAGCTTGCTGCATCGGAAGACTAGCTAGAGGCGAGGGGGAGTAAAGCAGATTCTCCAGTATTTTCTCAGGCTAGTGCTAAACATGTCACATGTGGTAAAAATCAACAAACAATATAAAAAGAAAACGCTTTCCAAAAAGCAACCGATTACTTAGAATGTGACAGCCCACCCCTCCCCCGCAGCTCCTGATACATCCAATAAATGAAACAACCCCTTGAGGCAGTTTATTTCCTGTACTATTTAGCAGATACTTCTGCAAGTGAAATAAAACAAAATAAAGAATAATCATTTTTCACATTCCCTATTTTACAATAAAAATGCAGTACAAAAGTGTAAAGTTTTTTGGCATATCATTTGTACTGTCTTGACAGGAAAAAAAAGCAGCAGCAAAAAAGATTATTTGCTTTCTTTCTTTCTTTAAAAAAAAATCTGACCCCGTCCCCGCTCAAAATAATAATAAAGATCCAACCTGCTGAAGATATTTGTCACTATTATGGTTTATGCTAAACCTTGCACAAAAAACTCCATGAGAAAAATACATCAATAGCAAAATAAGTTGAAAGGTCCTGCAAAATTAAGGGGTTTTACAGGCATACCTCTTTAAATACTTCAGAACGCATATACAAGAAGCATCAGCATGAAAATACTTCAATATTTCACTAGAAATGCTAATTTCATACATTTTTATTTAAATATCTGTAATTCTCAACTATAATACTGAAAAAATGATTTGATTTTGAAGGCTCTGTGAGTGTCCCACAAATGCAATTCTTCTCAAATAGCCCCTTGTCCAGTTCAACCTGAATCAATGTGGCAGACCTTGTTCATTTAAAAAAAAATCAGGAATCCATGTTGATTTCCAAGCTATTCCATTTTTCACTGTCACCAATTAACCATTCCTGCACCCCCCTACCCACTACCTGCATACTAGCTAACTATCTCTTTGCTTTTAAAACTATTTTCCCTTCAAAATGAGAACTTTTTAAAGTCCACCTTCCCTCCCCAAGGATGCTCCATTCCATTCCACCACCGCACTCCCCTCATTGGCCAACATATGCCGCTTCATTTTCCTTATCCATTAAATACTTTAAGGCCAATGCAACAAAAGAAAGAAAGAATATCCTAAGTACAGAATATCTCAGCAATAGAAAACTGCAGCAGGATCTGCTTTGTAGAAAGTTGCCATGACACCAACGAAGTCAACCGAGTGGTTCACCCAACATCCTGGTGTAATAAAAATTGACAACAAAGTCTTTCCGTTCCCCCGCCTCCCCTCAAGTCTCCTTCTCGATGCAGCTGCAGTGTTTCCACAGCTATTGTGTTTGCATCCATCTAAAGTTCACCTTTTGTTTTCTTTCAAAAAAGAAAAACCAGGTTTTCAGGCAGGCCCTGTCAGTTGTTCCCCTGTGTCGGCTGCAAGGCTTTGTGTACGGCAGCAGCTGAGGCAGAAGACGGTTTGATCCAGGGGACGGTTAGCAGGGAGGAGGTGGTGGTGGTTGTCATGGTAACCTGAATCATCTGCTCATTCTGTATCAGTCTAATGAGAGTTTTGAGGCGTTCCAGCGATGATTGAACCCCTTTCTGCTGGGCCAATAGGCTGTTTTTTCGCTCTAAGCACTTCTGTCAAAGGCGGAAAGAAAGAGTAAGAACACATTCCATTGGGTGTCAAAACACTCTCCCTGCAAACATGCTTTTGTGTGGGCAAGCTCAAATAAATGAGTTGCACCGTGGCCCCCCTTGAAGCATCCTGTTGGAATTGCAAGCCGGGGGCTCGAAGGGTAGAGCTTAAGGATACATCCGCCCCTCCCCAGCCCTGCCTGAATGCATGCTTATGTTGATTGAAGAGGGGGATTCTAGTCAAAGCCACTCTCTAATCTGAATTAATGCACAATCTACAAAGATTTATGATTTTATTTATTTCCATTGGCTGGAATCCAAAGACCCGCACTATTAATTCTACATGCCCAAAGGGATTTCTCAAAAGGCCGCTTCTCTTGCCCACTACTCCCAACACCGGATGACAAATCACTTCTGAAAGCGAAGAGACCTTCAGAAGCAGTTAGGGATATGGCATGGAGACTTGCTCTTCTAAGGGTTGGGCAGGGGGAAATATCACATTACAAAATTTTACACTGAAGTATAAAATGAAAGATAACTTATTCAAGGAAGGTTGTGGAAGATCGTGCCTTCAGTCTGGATAGACTGAACAGATGATGTCGGTTTACATACAAATGGAATTTATTTAATATAGTCCACACACTTTGGCATGAATATTTGTTGACCCTTATGGAGGAAGAGAGTATTTTTAGCAAGTGAAATGGACATGACACCCTCATACGAAAACACATGCATGTAATTGACAAACATATTCCTCCTGTTATTAGATCCAGTCAGAAATATCCTCCGTTTAAACTTTATTTAGTTTAACACTGGTTACAGTGTGCATGCTCTTGGATGCATCAACAGAAATTCTTATCTTGCATCACTTTCACATGTTATATGAGCACAAAAGTTGTAGTATCAATGAAAATGGGATTTATCTGCATGCATTCACTTTAAATATAAAACAGGCATCCCCTCTTAACACTAAGGCAAATATCCAGGCACAATCTCCCACAAGCTTCCTTGAATAAGTTATCTTTCATTTTATACTTTAATATAAAATTTTGCAATGTAATATTTCACACTGCAAAGTGCAGGGCCCATTACCTCTCGGTCTCTATGTGTCCCACTTAATTCAATTGCTTTTTAATTTAATTCTCCATTTTATTGGATCTAGGCTCTCAATTGCTCCATTTTAATTTAATGAAAACCTCAGGAACCAAGCCATTTTGTAGCATAATATTTTTGATTGCTCTCATCAGTTGAGGTCTTTATGTGGAATTGCATTGCTGCAGTCAACAGCCAAAACTTCTATCTGAACAATGAAGTATGCATCCTTTTCATTTTCTAATTCTACTCTCTACCTAACATAACACAGTCGCACATACAGAGGAATCTATTGAGTCTTCAGCCCATGTCGTTATGGACTCAGGCATGTACATGGTTATATTACTAAGTCTGCACAGTTAAAGGGAACACACCCCACTAAGTTGCCTTCTAATAAATTATTACTTTGCCTCCCATTTTCTTTTAAATGTCATGAAAAATTGATGGGTGTCCCTCCTGAATGAGAGCAGCAGTTGAACAAAATGTGACTAGCTACAGATGCAAATGCTACTTCTAATTTTCAAAATAAATGTAATAAATATAAACACACACCAGATGATCAAACCTCATACATTGCTCACTGGTCTTCTGAATTGTGGGGTGCACCCATGCTATAAATGGGGGCCTTCTAAATTCCCATTTGAGCAAGAACAACAACTCCAATATTAGAGCTGATCTATCTTAAAGCATGTTTGCTGTTACTGTAGAAATTTAGCGTTTTCCTAATCTGTGTTATTCGTAATTAATTATCTGCAAGAATCTGCAACACTGAAGTCCCCTTTGTAATACTGCTTAGCTTCTTTATTTTGCAACGTGCTTTGGGCTTAGCTCTTTGAAAATCTGTGCGAAAGTCACAATTGCCCCCCATACTACTTCTCCCTCATGTTCATGGGCAAATATTTAAACATGTTATTCCTTCACTAGCATTAGCAATATTCAACAAGTGTTGTAGAATATGGTTTGCTGAATGTATAGCATTTGGGATTAAGGTTCCAGTGACCACTGGAGTAACAGAGAACAAACAATGAAGATGGGAGGAGGAAGAAAAGACCTCAGGTCTACCTTCCAAAGAACAAGGATTTATTTACACCACAATCCTATGCCGTTTAACTGTAAAGTGTCGCTGAGTTCCACAGGACTTACTCTCACATAAGTTCACATAGGTCTGCAGCCTTAGGCTGTAAACCAGTGCAAAGCTCATGTTTCAGAGAAAGTCACTAGGATGCAAAAGTTCCAGATCAGAGAATCTGCCAATGATCCTGTGGCATAATGACTTCCTTGATGGTGGACTAGCACAGCTGCTGCACTACACCTTCCTAATAGCCTGCTAGCCAACACAGCTGGATTTAGCCAACTGGGGCCTGCTTACTCACAAGAAGAAAGTAGCCACAATCCACCATGTATGTCCACAGAAATTAGTGGGCTTAAGATTCAGGTAGGTAGCCGTGTTGGTCTGACGCAGTCGAAATATATTAAAAAATTGTCCAGTAGCACCTTAGAGACCAGCTAAGTTTGGTATAAGCTTTCATGTGCATGCACGAAAAGGTAGTCGGGCTTAAGTCCAACTACCTGTGCTTGATTGCAAAGTTCTCTTTACTCTCTGTAGAATGAGGATAGGGAAGCCTCCCGGAGCTCCCCGCATTTGGGCCATGAGGCAGGTTCAGCCAAGCCATAGCCACCTGCCCCACACTTGATGCCAGCTATGGGGAAGGTAAAGACAGAGCTCGGGCAAAAGGGGGCTTTTCAGGCACCACTGATTCGCTGCTTGTTGATGCTTGGGAAGCGCCAATCATGGAGCTTTGCCAGCCTTGTACCCAGCTCTCCCTGGGCACTGAGCACAAGCCTTACAAATCAGCTGATGGTCAGCACTCGCAAAGCACCCCACACATCTTCCGCCTGTGCAGTCCGATTTCAAACCACACAGGCAAAATAAATACCACCTGATGCCACTGTGATGCCATGTGACTTAAGAGGTGAGAGGCCCCACCCCTCTGTCACACACCCATAGGTCAAGTTTAAGGAGGTAAGGTTTCAGTGACCTGCAGTCCAGAAATTTAAAGAAACATTCAGATTTGTCCTCTTGTGCTAATTTCTCTTGATTTCAAAAGTAGCAAGTGCCCGGGCAATTTTTGAGGATAAGCCATAAGCCAGAAACGATACCTTCATTGCATTATTGAGAAAGTGTTCTTTTTCCTCTAGCTTCCTGTGTTCTCCCCTCAGTTCACTGCTTCTCTTTAATAACTTCCTCTTCTCCTCTTCTTTGACTGTGAAGCAAAGGCAAGAAAGCAGGCAATGAATGGCTGTTAAGATGAAAAATGTAACAGAGGAGTGTAAGAGATGCCTTGGGAGGGACCCTTTCGACCCACCTAGTGAAGAGGCATTTGGTGATACTGTCAAATACGTTAAGCTGATAAACAAGCGCACACAGTGCTAACAACTCAGTCTGAAGGAGGTACAGTAAAAACAACAAAAGTCACAGGACACAAGTAAAATATTCATAATGGGTGGTGGTGGATGTGCATATTTTACACTGGGCTCAAGGACTCAAGGGGTTTTCATGTGCTAAGGACAAAAAGCAAAGTCATCAATGAACAGAAAGCACCCACCTAATTAGAATGCCGTTGCATGAATGGGCTCGCAGACGGCCTCAATTCACTGTGACCTTCTCTCTTTCAAGGAGAAAGGTTATAGTGAGAATTCCCCCATCTGACCCACAAACGAAAAACGGTATTTGTCTCCTATGTGAAACAACACCAACACACACACAAACACACACCCACCCTAGTCCACCTCCGAGTTTGTGAACTCTCAATTCAGATGTGTTAGAACAGTAATTGGGAAACCCTTCCATCGGACAAGTACAGATGTGTTCGGATGATGCTTTATTTCCGAGACCCTTGCAATCCACCCCCTGAGGCGACTCCATTTGGAAGTTGCTGACACTTGAGAAACCATTTCTTATAATCAATTGCTACAGTTCGTACCTGTTTTATGAGTAACGTAGGACTGAACAATCGCCAGAGTTCCAGCCCATGGCACATTTTCATCTTTCTTTAACACCTACAATTTCAGGAAATAACGGATTCAAACAAGTCAAGGGCACACTCATGTTATAATGCATACAATCGTTTAGAATTGCCACCCTCCAATTTATTCCTCAAAAGCTGATTATATCAGGACTATGTAATAGCTCCGTAAGAGTAGTTAGTTTGCCGATTTGTAAAATGAAAAGCATGGAAATATATTTAGAAATTATATTTTGCCTTTCCACAAAGAGAGAACAAAACTCTCTGTCAAGGTAAGTCTAGCAACTGTCATCTGTAATACAACCAGACTGGTTCACCTCGCCAAATTTCTTCACATGCTCACATATGCAGTCACAAAATCATACAAACAGAAAGTTGCATGAACTGGTCAGCAAATGGAGGGAATTTATACGATTGCATATGCAGTTTCTTTAGCATCCATGATCACTGAAGATGGCTTAACCCTCTAGTGATAGCCAAGTGTACCATGACAGTGCTGAAAAAAATGCATTAAAGGTTTGTGTAAGTCTTCCAAAACTTCATGTTTATGTCTTCCTCAACCATGATGAATTACTATGTGGGATTGCAGTCCCCTTATCACAAATCCAGGAAAAAACGGATGCTTCCAGTCTCACAGCTTTTGGGGTCCATCCCCTCTCATGAGGGCCTGGGGATCAAATGCAGTTAATTGTTCTTTATGTCTAGAGTAGAACCTGCTCTATCTTTAAAGGAGAGTAAGTGTTGAGCTGTCGGCACTGCTTTATACTGTAGGCTATTACTGACGCTGATGACTCTCTTTGCAGTTACAGTCATACCTCGGGTTAAAGATGCTTCAGGTTAAATCTTTTCAGGTTGTGTCCTGCGGCGACCCGGAAGTAACGGAACGGGTTACTTCCGGGTTTCGCCACTTGTGCATACGCTCAAAATGACGTCACACGCATGCGCAGAAGCGGCGAATTGTGACCCGCGCACGTGCAGACGCGGGTTGCATTCTGCTCAGGATGCGAACGGGGCTCCAGGAATGGATCCCGTTCGCATCCAGAGGTACCACTGTATACTGTATAAATAAAAGAGAAAATTATCAGTGGAGGCATTATTTTTAACTTGCAAGTGGTGTTATGCTTAATATCAATATTAATACTAATGGTGCTGGTTATAGCTTTCTTGGGTATATTAGACTGATAACAGTGAATTTTTCTATGAATGGGGGGCTAAGTTTGTCCTACTATGGATAGGATATCATTACGAAGCTAATGTTAAGTCACTCAATGATTTCATTGGAAGAGACTTAAGCATGTGCTTAAAGTTATCCCATTGAAATCAACTTACCATAAAGATGGTGGGTTATTTGATATTGAGTTGCACTGACTACACCATAGACCATATTTCTGGAAGTTCTTCCAGGAGATGAGCAGCCTGGGATTTCTCAGGTGATTAGATTTAGACATTATCTCTCCTCTTACCCTGAATACTCAAAAGTGAATGATTTAAACTTTGCTGTGCAAAAATTACTTCAGTGGGATATTTACAGAACAGGGAGCAATAGTGAATTTACTGTGTAGCCTTAGGCAAATCAGTACTAATGGACTTAGGATTTTTTACAAAATGAGTAAGATATGGAGGATACTTTACCAACTAAAAGGACTGAATCCAGCATAGTTACTCAATATAAAAATCAATATAAAAAGTAAGTGATATTTAAGTTCTATTACTTTTAGTGGGACTTGGTGAAGACTAATTTCAGCTGCACTGGTGGTCAACCTTTACAGAGCTCATCAAATTTATATCTGTACACAACTCAACTCCCAGATCTGGTTTGGATAGTTGCAGTGTAAATGCGTATCTCACCTTTTCTTGGCACTTAGGACAGACCCAGACCCCTTTGGGGACAGTCTTCAAGGGAGGGTCCAAGCAGTTGAGGTGATAGGCTCTGGGGCATGTTCCACAGGATTGCAAATTGGCACCGCGCTTACATGCTGAACAATATTCATCATGGCTGACCTCATTCTGCGAAACACAAAAGCACAAGGAGGCAGGTTGTTCAGCTGATCTACAGAAGGAGCTCTCCACAAGCAGACTGTGGCCATATAAACTCACCACTTTGCCAACAAGTCCAATTAAATAGATGAAAATGAGACCTTAGTATATTTGTAGCACTCCTACTTCATATCAATGATCAAAGCCTGACAGCACCAACCCAACTATTACACATTGTTCCTGAGCATGAAAATCTTGGAGACAGGGGCCATCATTCTAAACAGAAGGGAAATAATTATTTTGAAGAGATTTGTTTCTATGGTGATGAACTGATTTTGCTAACGATATGTCTTCAGTGGCTCTTGGTTTATGGTGGACATATTGTCAGCATGTTAACTTGCCTGTGTTATGAAGGTTGTCAACATCACACATAATCTATATAGGATTGTAGGTACAGTGCTGTGGAAGAATCTGTGATTGTGAAAAACATAATTGTGTGGTCCCGGAAGCATCATTTAGCTTGATAGATGGGATCCTGAAATCTAAGGTTAGCATTCTCCGATTTGCTGTCTGTTTGTTTTCCATGTGTGATCACTAGACTGCGGTGGTGAATCTTCAGGCTGTTCAGGAGTATACCATGGCCAATGGTATCAGAAGAATTCAAGAATCTGGAGTAAGGTTGCACTCTCCTGTCCACCTCTCTGCAATTGTCATCCATTAGGAAGACCAAGGCTGACTCAGTTCCATGGCCAGGCCTAAACCCAGAATGGAATGGCTCCAAATAATCTGTGTCATCCAAGAATGCTTGCAGCTGCTCCATCACAACCCTTTCCACCACCTTTCCCATAAAGGGGGTATTTGTGACTGGTCAATAGTTGTTCCTGTCAAAGGGGTCTTTAGGCTGTTTCAAGGGAGCAGGGACAAATCAGTCAGACCCCCTCTGCTAGATTTAAAAAGCCAGGAGAGACAAGTAATGGAACCTGGGAGATTCTGCATACAGATAAAAACAAAATGTTGTTCTTTGCAGTGGACAGAGGACGTGTGAACCCGAGTATTGTTCTTCCAGTCATTTCTCTGACCATTGCATTGCCTGCATTTTTGGCAAAACTACCCTGGACAGCAGTGAAGCAGTGACAATAGTACTTACAAATGTACACTCTAGTATGTGACAACTGAAAAGGCCCAGGGTGACAGACAACAACACAATACTTTTTTTAAAAAAAGCTTAAACGAAGACCCTGTTCCCTCGCAATATACAAGGTGTGGTAAAACATACCTGCCAAGATGGATCCTCATTGGCTAGCATTATGAAAGAAGGGCAGAACACAGGTTAGGATCAGTGGGCTTAGATCCCCAGCTTGGTGGGATTTTAGGTAGGCTATGATAAAAGAACACTATGTATGAGCAGAAGGTTATAATCAGCCAGGCTATGTCTGTCCAAGTGATCCTACATGCACTCTCCCCTTTTTAGGTTATCCTTATACTAAGCTTTTTGCATTCCCTCTTCATGTATGTTTCCTCTTCTTAGGACTGTGGCACTTTTTGTTTGTTCACATTGAATGTGTGAAATTGCACTCACATGCCCATAGACACAAATAACTGAAGTGATGCATGCAAGACATTCACATGGCCAGGGCTGCGCAAGATCAGAGATAACGCTCTCCCTGAAAGAGCTTAGCAAGAGAAATTAGAGAGACGTCAGTAAAGATGAGTGGCTATATGCAGTCGCCTTCCAATCAAATGAAAAAGGGTTTGGTAATGGAGAAGGAGAAGGAGAGGAAGAAGGACTATACAGACACTTGCCCAGCCTACTCCCAAGCAGGTTAGCAGCACCTTAATGAGGTACTAACATTTGCTCTAAGGAAACATCTAAGGCAGGGATAACCAGAAGTGCAACAAGCTGGAATGTAAAGCTACCAATGCTTTAAATGTTAGTTCTGTCTTTCATAGCAACCCTTGTGTGAGCTAGAAACAGGATGGGGATAACTCCCCTGAACACATGACCTGCAGCTGATTAATATTCTGATTTCGGGAGAAGATCATCTGCAAAAAATATTAGTATGGAAGTGCCCCGAGAAACTAGAAATATTAAAAAGGTAAAGGTAAAGGCTCCCTGACAGATAAGTCCAGTTGTGAATGACTCTGGGGTTGCGGCGCTCATCTTGCTTAACTGACCGAGGGAGCCGGCGTTTGTCCGCAGACAGTTTTTCCGGGTCATGTGGCCAGCATGACTAAGCTGCTTCTGGTGAAACCAGAGCAGTGCATGGAAAAGCCGTTTACCTTCCCGCCGGAGTGGTACCTATTTATCTACTTGCACTTTGATGTACTTTCGAAATGCTAGGTTGGCAGGAGCAGGGACTGAGCAATGGGAGCTCACCCCGTCACGGGGATTCGAACCGCTGACCTTCCCATTGGCAAGCCCAAGGCTCAGTGGTTTAGACCACAGCGCCACCCACGTCCCATTACCACAACCCGCGTCCCATTACCACAATATTAATCTGGGGCAAAAATGGGAATGAAGTGTAGACTATACTAGCATTGTGTACATATTTTCAGCAGCTGAACAGAAAAACTGAGTTTATCCTGTAAATTAGCAAGAAAGAGGTAAATAGTAATTTGCTATTTAGTGCTGCACAATGCTCAAACATTGTGCTGGTCTAGGTACTCCAGTATGATGCTGCTGCTGCTGCTGCTGTTGTTAATACCATGGGTACAGTGCATGCTTTGCATACATAGAATCTTGGGTTCAATTTTCATGAGTTTGCTAAAAGGGTTTCAGCTAGCAGAGTTTGGGATAATTTCTACCTAAGACCACACAGTGCTGCCTCCAGTCAAGAGCGCACAGAATTGGGGTAGTTAGACCAAAGCAGTGGCACATACATTTTCATCAGCCATAATTTTCTACTAGCCAGTTGTAAAGCCCAGTCCCACTATGATACTACAACAATATCATATGCATTTTCAAAACAGGTAACAGTTTCATTAGACTGAATGAAGTTAGATCTTAAAAACTCAGCCTTTATCTAAGCTAAGGAGCACATAAAATTATTATTTAAATCTACAGTGCATTTCATAGTTTTCAGGGGTTTTTCTTCCTTTCTAATTTTTCAGGATGATTTACTGTATAATTTGCATTAAAAGCTCAAATATTAAACAAACCTACATTTTCTAGAACTAGGTGCGGAATATATGTACTTTGGGCCAATAAGACACCTAATAGAATTTCTTGTCCAAAGAAATGGATTTACAAAAGGGAAGCAAGAATGATTTTTTTTTTCAGGAAGCAGGAGTTCTGGGGCACCTTAAAGATCAACAACTTTTATGACATGAGTTCTCATAGGCTAGAGTCCAGTTCTCAAATATTCATATATTTGAGCTCAAAATAATTTCTGCCTTGTTAGCTGAAAAGTTGGCATACAGATCTAGTAGTTAGGGCTAAACTTCAATAGGGTAAATTTTACAAAGTGCAGCTCCCTTTTTTGACTCATGTAAATTGTCATAAAGAGGAGGTGTGTCCTCTGACCTCTCAGAACTCCTTCTGGAGGGGATACAGATATATAATGTAAAATTAATTTTATTTTTCCTGTTGTTTATTGATGCTAAAAAAACAATTTTACTGTAATTATTTCAAGTGTGGAGTACTAACCTATATTTCCATTCCAATAATTCAGAGATCTTACCTCTTGTGGACAGAAACAAGGGATTGTTCAAATAATTTGATGCAAGACGTTTCCTCTGCAAAAGATAACATGAATAGCATTGACTAAGACATTTCTTCCAACAACAACCAAGTCCAACTTAGAGGGCATCATCAGGAGCTATCCACACATGGGTGTCAATAATATGCACATACATACTTTTAAAAAAGGGGATTCTATATCAGAGTGTTGGGGAGATCCCATAATAAAATTAACATGAGATTTCCTGGAGCAGTTGTGGTATTCTGTGTTAACTCTGTGGGTTAAACACAACTTCCTTCAGGAGCATTCACTTTTTAGCAAGGAATTCCATGCAAGAGAGTTAGAAAAAAACCCCATTGTTTTAGCTGGATAGGTATATTTTTAAACAGATATATATATATATATATATATATATGCTGATGTGAGAATCAGGGCCTTTTACAAAAGAAAAGGCAATATATACTGTTATAAATAAATATTTCAATGAATGTCAGCTAACGTCATTATCAAATGTCAGCTTTAAATAGCCTAAAGAAACAGTGCCTTGTGTTTCATCTTCCCAAGTTCCTGCCATAAATGTGTGCTTTTCAAAAGTGGATCTTTAACGAAATTGTATTTTTAAAGTCCACAACGTATTTCACCATATGTTATGCTAGAAGCATGAAAAGAAGAAATGTACATAATTTGTATTTCCACTTCTCCAAAACTGCTGAGATTAAATTTATGTCAGTCACATACAAAAGAAATAAGTGATCCCATTACTAGTTCATTAGCTGTAACTGAATTAGATAAAACCGGCATCACAGGAAACATTTATTGAGGTTGCTTTATTGAACATGCAACACTCATCAGAAACTACTGGGCTGGGCGGGGGACGGGGGGACGGGACTTTTTAAAGTGTTTTCTACTTTCACTTGCAATTGCCAATCCCAATTTGAACCAATCCTCAGCGAATCAAAACAATGAAGTCTCCCTTCCTCCCTAAATCTCACTTTTCCTAAACAGCAAATGGTGGGATAGATTTAGCCTTTCCTTCCCCATGAAATAGGCTTGAGTTGTGGGTGGCAAATGCACAGAGCTAATGTTAAGATGCTACTGGGTTTAGAAATTCATGTCTATCCTATACATTTAAGCCACTAGGAAACTGATCCGACTGTCACGCTCCCAACCAGGGAAACACTGACAATCTAAGTGTTTCTCTCAACAGCTTCATAATACAGTAAACCATGGCAGCTATGCTGTTTTAAAGTCTTGTTTTGTAACAGGGACGTGCTTTTATTTTGTAATGGGAAACTACTGTGGTCACTCTAGTGTCACGTGAATAAGGACCAGAAGTGAAGGGGAATGAAAGAGCGACAAGACAAGAGATGTACCTCTGTTTCCAAAAGCCCACTGTAGGCTGGGTTGGCTGTGCTTCTTCTTTTCCTCTCCTGACGCTTGCTTTGGATTTCTGTAATCAATTTATGAAACATTATCTCTGTATGTGTGTGATCATTTGAAAACAATTCTTTTCAGATACAACTCATTAGTCAGATGACTTTTGGCTTGTGGTCTGCTTAGACCTTATGTTTAGTTTCTAATGCTTGTCTGGGCAGCGGCCCTGATAATTTGTCAGATTTTGTGTTTGAAGTTATTTCTGAAATTCACAATATGGTTTAACGCAGCAGTCTGGAACCTCACGCCTGAAGCCAAATATGGCCCTGAAACCTTCTTTATCTGGTCCTTGCAGCTTTCCCAAGGCCACCCCTGCCGCCAGGTCACCCCCTTCACCAGCCTGCTCTGCACCCTCAAGTGCTTTTGCCTGGCTAGATTGTGTCCTTGAGATGGATGGAGGGGTGGGCATTTTGTAAGGCTGGAATGCCACCTACACTTAAAGGTAAGTGTTGCACCTCTTGCTCTGCCCACTTTTGGCCCCTGGCCCAACCCATGGCTGCTGTGCCCCCCAGGAGGTCACCCATGAAGGACTGTGGCCTTTGGGGTGAAAAAAGGTTCCACACTTCTGGTATAATGGCTACTAAATGAGAATCCTTTGATTATCAGACAGATTCACAGATGTCTAATAACAATTGGCATAGCTTGGCACCAGCTTGGCTGCAGGAGTTGACGGAAGGAGGCAGAAAAGGCGCCATACAAGCCTCTTGGAGACTACACTCCAGATTTATGTAGGGTTTACTCTTTAGCCTTTTCTTCTCCTGAAGACAAGATGGCGAAGACCTGACTAGACAACTATATTAGAGGCTATATACCTCTGAATAACAGACACTGGGGTAAACAGCAGTGGAGGGCCCTCGCCATCAGGCACTGCTCTTGAGGACCCAGAAGCATTTGGTCAGCCGCGGTTGGAGACAGCCTACTGGGCCCTCCAATCCTTGTTGTAATTTACCAAGGCAACCCTTATATTCCTGGAGCCATAGCAGCTTGCAATCTTACAAGGATTCGTTTCTTTAAACAAAAACAAAAACCAGCAATACCCCAATAACAAATCACACTAAGAGCCCAACTAGTATCCTATTAAAGGGGCATCCAGACAAAAGAATTCAGTGATCAGAGCTATTAAGTAAGTTATAAGCTTTTTAAAGCTTTGGACAACAAGGTCAGAATGAAGAGCTTCATTAACACTCAAGCCTCTATGCCCATTGACAAAGACATCCTTGTCACAGTTTTGTATCTTGGCTGTTGCAAAAGGCACAGCAGGTTTTCTTTGTTTCCCTCATAGAGAATGGGAAAGAAAGACTATAAATATCAAAGCTGAATTTGTAGACGTATTTGGTTCAAAACCTCGCTTAGAAAAAGGTGAAGAAACCCAGATTTATGCCCCCAACTTACATCATTAAAATATAATATTAACACAGGCTAACTTTGAGGAGCTGCTTTGGTTTCTTCTTTGAAGCAGTGTGTAGGAGAGTTGTCATGTTTTGAGGAGTCACAGTGTTTTGTGTATTCTAGTTATAAAAGTACAAAAAGAGTTCAGATTTCTATAGGTAGCAATGGCTAGCCCTCTTGCAAAAGCTGCATTCATATGCATGTAAGCGAAAACACCTGCAAGAAGGGCTAGACTTCTGCAAGGCATCCTGAACAGCAAGACTGGTAGCCTATATAACCAGTTTGCAATCAGCCGTACCAAATGTGTGTCAGTCGCAATGAAGTACTGAATGAACTCAGGCTTGCTAGAGAGGTTAAAAGCAACAAAAAAGGCTTTTATGGGTATGTTCGTAGCAAAAGGAAGAACAAAGAAACAGTGGGGTCACTCAGAGGAGAAGATGGTGAAATGCAAACAGGGGACACAGAAAGGGCTGAACTCCTCAATGCCTTCTTTGCCTCAGTCTTCTCCGATAAAGAAAACAATGCCCGACCTGAAGAATTTGGAGCAAATGATTCAGCAAAGGAAACACAGCCCAGAATAACTAAGGAGATAGTACAAGAATACTTGGCTAGTCTAGATGTATTCAAGTCTCCAGGGCCAGATGAACTGCATCCAAGAGTATTAAAAGAACTGGCAGATGTGATCTCAGAACCACTGGCAGTCATCTTTGAGAATTCCTGGAGAACAGGCGAAGTCCCGGCAGACTGGAGGAGGGCAAATGTTGTCCCTATTTTCAAAAAGGGGAAAAGAGAGGACCCAAATAATTACCGCCCAGTCAGTCTGACATCAATACCAGGGAAGATTCTGGAGCAGATCATTAAGCAAACAGTCTGTGAGCACCTAGAAAGGAATGCTGTGATCACCAATAGTCAGCATGGATTTCTGAAAAATAAGTCCTGTCAGACTAACCTGATCTCGTTTTTTTGACAGAATTACAAGCCTGGTAGATGAAGGGAATGCAGTGGATGTAGCCTACCTTGATTTCAGCAAGGCATTTGACAAGGTGCCCCATGATATTCTTGTAAAGAAGCTGGTAAAATGCGGTCTTGACTATGCTACCACTCAGTGGATTTGTAACTGGCTGACTGACCGAACAAACGCAAAGGGTGCTCATCAATGGTTCCTCTTCATCCTGGAGAAGAGTGACTAGTGGGGTGCCACAGGGTTCTGTCTTGGGCCCGGTCTTATTCAACATCTTTATCAACGACTTGGATGATGGACTCAAGGGCAACCTGATCAAATTTGCAGATGACACCAAACTGGGAGGGGTGGCTAACACCCCAGAGGACAGGATCACACTTCAAAACGACCTTGACAGATTAGAGAACTGGGCCAAAACAAACAAGATGAATTTTAACAGGGAGAAATGTAGAGTATTGCACTTGGGCAAAAAAATGAGAGGCACAAATACAAGATGGGTGACACCTGGCTTGAGAGCAGTACATGTGAAAAGGATCTAGGAGTCTTGGTTGACCACAAACTTGACATGAGCCAACAGTGTGACACGGCAGCTAAAAAGCCAATGCAATTCTGGGCTGCATCAATAGGAGTATAGCATCTAGATCAAGGGAAGTAATAGTGCCACTGTATTCTGCTCTGGTCAGACCTCACCTGGAGTACTGTGTCCAGTTCTGGGCACCACAGTTCAAGAAGGACATTGACAAACTGGAACGTGTCCAGAGGAGGGCAACCAAAATGGTCAAAGGCCTGGAAACGATGCCTTATGAGGAACGGCTAAGGGAGCTGGGCATGTTTAGCCTGGAGAAGAGGAGGTTAAGGGGTGATATGATAGCCATGTTCAAATATATCAAAGGATGTCACATAGAGGAGGGAGAAAGGTTGTTTTCTGCTGCTCCAGAGAAGCGGACACGGAGCAATGGATCCAAACTACAAGAAAGAAGATTCCACCTAAACATTAGGAAGAACTTCCTGACAGTAAGAGCTGTTTGACAGTGGCATTTGCTGCCAAGGAGTGTGGTGGAGTCTCCTTCTTTGGAGGTCTTTAAGCAGAGGCTTGACAACCATATGTCAGGAGTGCTCTGATGGTGTTTCCTGCTTGGCAGGGGGTTGGACTCGATGGCCCTTGTGGTCTCTTCCAACTCTATGATTCTATGATTCTATTCTATGATTCTAAGTACTAAAAATATACAAGACTGTACAATGGCCATCAACTTTGCCTTTTTAGAGGTATTTTGCAAGAAGTGAAATGGTTGGAGTTTGTGAAGAGGGTAGATGTAAAGCATATCATGGCAAATGGAGGAAGGGATGAAATTTCTGAACCTGGCCTCAGCGACTGGCCTCCCATAGACCCTGTAAGGGATTGTGTGTTTGAAATATGTTGTCATCAGAATGTATGGCAGCTGGCAGATGTCAACAGCTGCTGCTGCTGTTCAAGTACCTAATTTTTTAAAAAATCTTTAAGCCTCCCTGAGTCCCTGTCAGGTAAAAAGCATAGGTATGTATGTATGTATGTATGTATGTATGTATGTATGTATAAATGATGATACAAATGCAGGGATGGTGGGGACATTTGTAAGGCAAACTGGCAGGAGGTGCTTAACCAAGTCTTCAGTGCAGATGTTATGTACCCACTAGGCACTTCCTCTTAGCGGGGTTTCTTCCAGTTTCAAAATCTGTCTGGGAAAATTTTATTACGGGGGGAACATTTGCAGGGGAGAATCAGTGAGTGAGCAACGAGTTAGGTGCTCCCGCCTTCCTACTAATTCCTCCGCAGCAAGTGTCTCCCCCAGCACTTGCCTTGTGAGGAAAAACACATGATGGGGCCAAATTCAACCAACCCATTTCACTAGTGGGCTTCCCCCTCCTCTTTTCTCCCCACACCTCCCCCAAAGCTGCTCTAGAAGGTTGGGAGAACTCACAGGACGTGGGGCGAGGAGAGGAAAGATGGTTCCACCAGACAAGCAGACTCTGCTGAATGACCGCCGCCTGTTTCCTTCATTTCACAGAATGTGGACTTGCTGCAAGAAATGCCAGGGCTTCCCAGGGACAAGTGAAGTGAAGTCTCAAAGGACTTGCCCAAATAGCAGGTCCCTCTGGTTTCCCCGAAGCCCCTCAGATTTTGAGAACTAGAGCATTTCTATGCTTTGTGCCTCTTCAGGGGAGAACTTGGTGAATTTAGTTTCTGCATTGGCTTTCTTCATATGGTGCTTGGTTTGGTTACTCTGTTCCATGGGTCCTAAATAAGTTTGATGTATCTTGGATTTAGAGAACAGTCTTTGTTACTAAGTGACTGGCTACATGAGCTTGGAAATCCCATGCTCCACCTGATATTGATGACTGGGTAGTGGCATCTTGAGAACAAGTGATAGAGATGGGAAGGCCTGGGGAAAAACCGGAAAAATTGGAAAAACACACACCAAGGTTTCCCCCCGTTTTTTATTATTATCCAAAGCCGTTTTTTTTCCAGAAAAAAATGAAAAAAAAAATGTGCTGAATATTCAAACTATATCAAACTGGTTTTTCCATTTTTTTCAGGGAAAAACAGCTTTGAGGGGAAACGGAAAAAGGGGGAGGGGAACCTGGGTTGTTGTTTATTCATTTTTTCCGGGGTTTTTCCAGGCCTTTCCATCTCTATACACATCTCAACATATGAAGGAGCATCTTGCACAAATTTAAAGGCATATGGAGTTTTGGCTACAATTGCTGTGACCTGATAATCCGACTCCTGCCCAGTTAAAACAACCCCTCCAGTACCAAGCTTAGACGCATCTTTACTTCCAGATAGTTTTGTATCACCTAAAGGAAGAATGTATTTTTAAAAAAATCTTTGTTCTGATGTTTATATTTATAATCCATATCCATTCCCATTCCTGTTTATTGTTATTGATACTGAAACACCTTAATAAACTCCTGACAGAAGAGAAAAATTGTCCTGGATGACTGCTGGTATTTTCAATGTAGCAATAGTCAGTGATATTATTCAGAGGTGCTCAAGCTTTAAATTATTACTCTTACTTTCCTGACATAAAAAAAGATTAGACGGGCAAGTTGTGGGATTATTATCTACACAATTTGTATTACGCAAGCCTCTTGGTAAAACGGTTGCTTTGCAAGTTCCATTTCAATCTCTTGCCATTAAAGGATTAGGGATGCTGGTGACTTAGAACTTTCTGTAAACTGCTTTTAGATTTCCATTCATCATCGCATGAAATCATTTTCAAAAATGCAGCTATAAAGTTCTGAGCCTTTCTGAGGAAAACAAACAAACAAACAAACAAACAAACAAACAAACAGCAAGACCAATAGGAGGGGATCCTCACAAAGGACATGATTGCATTCTGAAGTGCTCTATTACCCCAGCTTCTTCACATTCTAGAAAATTTAAGTGATATTTTAAAAGAGAAGTTACACAATATGCTGCGTATGTGACAGAGGTGGATGTTTAATCACCAGCATGGGATGAGATCACAATGGTCACCCCATTCCTCTTGTGTCATGGTCCCGATGAAGCTTTGAGAAGTGAGTATCATTGAGATCATGGTATGAGGGGAAAGGGTTAAGCCCCCTTTACATATGTAATATGTAAAATATATATGTAAGCTACATTATATATGTAAGCTACATTACTGAACATCAGAGCAAGATCTCCAGCTGGCAAAGAACACACAATACTTTACTTCATGAGGACCAGTCCCTCCCCCACTTTTAATAATAAAGTTTCCAAGTTTCCAACCTTCATTGAGAAGTTGCTTTCCCCCAAAACAGAAAACATTTTTGTAGTAATAAAAGCGTTCTTACCTTCCAGGTATTCTGTCGTAACCAGGCCTAATGCTACCATAAAGGCAATTTTCTAGAGAAGAAATAAAAAAAGACATTACTTTGATTACTGCTGAAAGAACTCCAGTTGCACCATAGGGCTTTACAAATTCCTCCATTTGAAGACTAACATAACAGCATGAACTCTTCAATAACTCAGGACCTTCAGTCCTCTATAAAAAAAACCACAACATCTATGTTCAGATGAATTCCTCAAAGCAGTGTCAAACATGTGCAGATGGGCCAGAGTTTTGTTTTTGCGAAAGCTTGATTTGCACTGTACTGCATTTGTGCATACGGTTTCATTGGTTTCCTGCTTCTATGTTTAAAAGTGAGCAGTATGGAAAACAAACTCTCTGTCTGATCCCAAGTACAGTGGACAGAGTCTGGTCTACACGTGTAACAGAATGAAGTAGTCAAATGGAATGTAACTGCTTCAGACTGGATGTGAGGAGTGACAATTCTAACCCTCCACTCCAAAAAAAAAACCCCATGAAGAAACATGAAAGACTGGCACGTCAGGGAGAAAAGCTGAAGCATAACCTGCTGCCTGCTGAATTAAGTGTGGAGAGATTTTTATTTAAGAGAAGCATTCAAAAATCTGACCTCACCCCAACCACCAGCTGTTGGGTTGCCATATTTTGAAAAGCAAAAAAGAAGACACATTTGCTGATTTTTACTTTTAACTGTGGATCGCTATGACGACTCTACCCATGAAGAAAAGGACATATGGCAACCCTAGCAAGACTCGTTTTAAATATTCTCTATTGCAGAATGGAATATGAAAATCTGAGTCTAGACATTTATATCACTGGATAATTGACAAGCAGTTTTGGTGAAGTTCAACATGAGCCTTCTCAGAAAGCAAGAACTTGACTTGCTGTCTTTGGACATTACAGCTCACGTCTCATATGAAGGTATACCAAAGAAATTGGTTCTATGTCCAGAGTACATAGAATAAGCACCAGTTCCAACACTGGTGACTGGCCACAAACTGGTCCGTGAGGGAGAAAGAAGATGGTGGCCGAGGTCACTGAGAGGTAGGTGCTAATGTACTTGCAAGACCCCTGGATTCTGAGCTTTCATTTTGGGGGCGGCGGGAGGAATGAGTCTCTAACCCTCCTAAAATTAAAGCTATAAAGCAAAATGTGCAGCCGGTTAGGGGCAACCAACCTATTGATCCAGCCATCTAATGCAGATGGAGATGAAGAGCTATGACCTTTTCTTTTTTTTCTTTTTTTTGAAAAAATCAAAAGACTCAGGATGGTGTGATAACCATGGCAAAATCTGAACATTTGCTGCCTTGAACCAACTTTATGGAAAATCTATTTCTGCAAACATGCATTGCCCAAAGAACTGCCTCTCTGTATTGACTGCATCAAGTCACCATGCCTTTAATAAAGCAAGATTAAAGCACAGATGAGGAAGGATTTGTCTATGGAAGGTCATTAGCACAACAGAAAACTCAGGTGGGGGTACAGCTGAGACTTGGTAGGGTGTCCGCCTGTCTCTGTCTTTTGTGGTGAGGGTTTTGTCCCTAACCTGATACTGCAAGTCAGGGACAAAAGGAAGCACCACTTGTGCACTTTTTTTGATTGATGGAGGGGCATCAGCACCCAACATGCCTGTCCCATCTTTCTCAATGATGACCAAAGAGGAGCCAGCCTACTGTCTGGACCTAGCCCTCCACTACTCAAGGGGAAAGGAAGACTTAACAACCTAATTGAAGAGAAATGTCATTCATTACACCAATTAAAGAATCAACTAGCACTTTGGCTGCAATACCACAGTCCCTGGGAGGCTGTCTAGGAGCCACTGGATCCAACGTCTTCCTCCAAATCCAACTCAAACTCCTACATTAGCTGCTTTGCTGTTTTCAAACAAGGTTACTGCTTACCTATTCTTTTGCTTTTGAATGCCAAGCTTTCTTGATCTATATTTCTGAATTCTGTTCATACTAAATATATCAATAAATGCCTTAAGGAATCTGCAGTACTTCTCTCTTTGCATAGTTCAATAAGGATTTTTTTTTTTTTTTAAAAAGACAACAACATTTCACGTTGTAATTATATGTTCTAGTTGTCGTTACATGCATTTACACTAATTACACAGTTAGTTCTAATTACACTAATTGCATAAATGCATGTTAATCAACTAAAGCTTACTCAAAGAACAAAATAAATTAACCCAGAGCCTTATAATACATACTTTTTCTTTAGTGCACAAAGAAAGCAAGACAGAAGCAGACCTCATGCTTACGCCCCAAGTCTGCACTGCCTGATAACCACACGGTTCTTCTAGCAGAACTGTTCCTGTTAAGTCATCAGTTCTACTCTAATATGCAGAAAGGAATAAAAAACTAATTTGAAAATAAAACTGATATTAAAATACCTTCTTAATCTCCAATTGTGTCTCCCAACCACACCCTGGAATGCTATTTCATGCAAGGCCAGAAAATATGTATTCTTTAAAATGACTATTAAAACAACACAGACTGGTGATCCACACAAAAAAGAATGGCATCTCAGTGAAAAATACATCTCATACCTGATGCGAGTGAATGAACTGAAGGGGTCTAGGGATCAAAAACACAAAGGCAAATATGAGGGAAATGGTTTACTTAGTTAAACTACAATGAGGGGGAAGGCTGATTTTCAGAAAGGTGGGTGAAGATGAGCATTGTTATGGCAACATGTGATGGGTAGGTTGGCTGTGTTTGTTGAGGTTCCATTTATACCATGATTGCATAACTGCTAGGCAAATCCTCTAGTCTCCCACACTGAACAACTTGTATCTCTCTAACACAACCAGTTCTTTCAAGATGAACAGCCACACAACTCATCCCCCAGTGGCTTTGTTTACAGAAATAACAGGAAATCAAAGCTCAAGACTTGGAGATTTTTAATGTTCAGATAAGCAACTATGTAACAGAAAATATCGGGGGCAGTTCATTTTGAAATACATAAGTAAGTAGAATTTGACATCAACTCAAGGGGAAATGATATATAAGCAGTGCATTTTTGGTTTTTTAAAAAGTGAGGTTTCTAGTATTCAGATATGGATAAAAGTGCCTTGGATGCCAGCAAAAAATAGCTGCTGTGGGCAGAAAAAAGAGGTGTTGAGGCTCTGTACCTGTGTGGACTGAGGATCAAGGCTGAGCAGATTTCTTACATATCTAATAGACTTAAATTAAGTGAGTCACGTTTCTTTAACGTGAGGCATGTCCTTTCGTGTGCTCTTTTATATTTGATAACTCTTCACCAAACGCAATATTTTACTTTAATGAAGCAGTTGAGAAGGGGCCCAGTGATGCACCATTCAAAACAGCAACAGTGTCAGTATCCTATAAGAGGTATAAATCTACAGTGAATGGCTATGTAAAAACTGGAAGAAGTGCTGAAACAGCAAGGTTGTGGATGTAAGAAAGGCAGGCAATCATCTGAAGGAAGGTTGCTTTGAGGACTAAATGAAGTACTTTGAACAGCCATAAAGCTCTAGGTAAACACTGGGTAATACTTTACTGTGATTGTCTGACGGTGGAACTCAACTTCCCCTTCTCTACCCTGTAGCCTCCCCACATGTCCCCCCAAAAGAGCCCCCCCCCCGAGAGCTGGGGGACCCTCTGCAGCAAATCTGGGGAGGTGGCAGAGAGGAAAGGGAAGTTATGTTGCAGGAATACCTTTCACATTAAGAGCTCCCTTGGATCTTGGAGATTTTTAAGCAAAGGTTGGATGGTCATCTGTCATGGATGCTTTAGTTGAAAGTCCTACATTGCAGGGGGTTGGACTAGATGGCCCTCAGGGTCCCTTCCAACTCTACAATTCTATGATCGCCCCGGTGTCTGCTCATGCAGTGCTGAGCATCATCTATTAAGAATTTTTATTAATAATGAAAAATAATAGAGCAGAGTTTACAATCCACAAGACCAGGGTGGCTAACCTGTGGCCCCTTCAGATGTTGTTTTAGTCCAACTCCCATCAGCCAGCAGGGCCAATGGTCAGGAATTATGAGCGCTGCAGGCCAACGCCATTGGCAGGGTCACAGGTCAGCCACCACTGCCATCAGAAGAACATAAAGAACAAAGAGTTACCCAAGACGGTAAGCAATAAATCCTGTATTATAGTCATTTCTGCTGTTACTGTTCCATGAAAAAAATAAGAATAAATTGTTGGTGTTGGACAACAAATGCAGTCGTCCCAATTTTATGGACAAGTCTTATGTGTAAAGTATTTTTTGCTGACAGAGGAAAAAATGAGCACAAGTCTGTTCTGTCTAGGCAATGTTCCAAAGACAGCTATTAATATTATTCAACTTGAGTAATGACAATTGGGTACAATTCTATTATCTCCTAGAGTACTCTGAAATGCTCTTGCATATCTCATAGCATTAGGTCCCATTTTACTATTTACTACCTGTAATTTTAAAAGTATTATTTCCAAGAAGTTCTACAGGTCTGTTTTCTAAGAGCAGGAGAATTGTTTTGCCACAAGCTTATTGGCTTGCAGCGACCTCTACACTAAAAATCAGGTGTATGGAACATCTTGCAGGGAAACTGAAGTGGCATTAATAGTTCTAACACCAGGTCTATATGTATGCAACCACGTTGGCTGCATCACAGGAAGCAGGCATGGGGAACCTGTGGCCATCAAAACGTTGTTGGACTCCAACTCCCATCAGCCCCACTTAGTCTGGCCAATGATCAGGAACGAGGGGAACTGCAGTTTGGTTAACACCTGGCATGGGGTGGGGAGTCACAGGTTTCGCATCTCTGACCTAAAGCGCCACTTAAAGCTTGATATTATTATTATATTAATAATCAAGTCCTACCCTCCTCTCCGCATTTGCAAGCTATTCATTGAACCTTGTCTTATCCATCTAGATGGCTTGCAAATAATCAATATTACAGAAAATTCTCAGTGAACAATGAAAAAGAAGTGCATTTATCCTTGCACTTGCTTCCCATTGCTTCTTATAACGATAAGAGTGTGACACAAACCATTTGTCATACAGTAAGGAGAAACTGATTGCTTATTCTTTTTTGTAGCCAATTCTCCTCCTTAAAAATCCCTGTACAGGCCTGCCCACGCACTAAGGTCTTCAGGAGAGGTCCTCAGCAACCCAGCAGACCTTTTCTGTGGAGACACCTGGCTTGCAAAACAGCCGCCCCTCCAAAATGAGGGAAGAAGAAACGTCATTAATTTTAGGCACTGGCTAAAAAGATACTTGCTTGCCCAAACTTTTTCCAATTATTAATACTCAGTCTTGCACATTATTCTGGTTCTGTAGATGTTATTGTATTCATGTTTTAGGTTGATTTTACAAATTATTTGAATATTATTATTATTGTTGTTAATCATGCTGGATTTTAAAAATGTGTTTTACACAAATATGTAAATAAACACAGATGAAATGGGCACTTTCATTACTTTGTTAAAACACAGAACTATAAAACTGAACTAAGGCTAGTAAGGACAAACTGCTCTGGGCATATTTTGTGGGTTTTGTAACAAACTGTATTTTGCAAAAGGTATAAATAAAACTAAGGCAAGCATGTTGCAGCTCCTCCCCCCCCCCCCAGTCAGTAAATAAGGGACTGTATGCTCTAAAAGCAGCAGCTTAACCTTTGGACTGAGGAGACGTTCTGTGAGCATCTCTATGTATATGAAATATCACGTTTATAAAGAAAATAAGATTTTGTTAACCTCTGGACTTTCCTCTTTTTTCTTTTTGGTAGCAGGGGGTCCCTGAGCTGACTCTTCAGGAGCTTTCTTTGTCTCCACTTTATTCTCTGTTTGGGTTTGAACTTGAGGCTGAATGATGATGACCTGCAAAACAAATGGGTGAATGAAAAGAAGATTGCTCCACAGTCTGAAAGGGATTCAATTTTTCAAACAGAGAAACAGAATCTTCAAATAAAGGGCTCCTTTGGCAACTACTTTCTTGTAGAGACAATAAAATCATATAGCTGGCATATTACGATCTGGAGACTCTCTTGTCAGAATCTTTACAAATATTATAAACTAAAGAGGCACCGTTCTCAGAGACTGTTCACTTACACCTAGTTGATTCAATCACTTGGCATGTCTCAGAATTGTGGTCCACGGGGTCTCCCCGCAACACAGAAGTTGTCAAAACTGGGACCTCCAGCCTGATTTTTAATATTCCAAAAGGAAATGGTAGAATAGTTTCCTTTTTAAATCTAGCATCTCAGTCTCTCTCAGGTCCCTCTTTTGCTAGCCTACTAATTATGTCCTGGTCCACAATAACACAATTCCATGGCATGGTCCACAACAACACAATTTCAGCTTATCCTTTGCTTGTTTACTCAGAAGCAAGTCTTGCTGAGTTCAGCAGAGCTACATAGGAGTGCAAATTTATCTCTGTGTTTGAGAAAGACAATTATTACTCCTCTAGCATTAACAGGACTTTCTATACCAAGTATGAAAAAACTGCTAAGAGAGGTCATCTAGAGTGATGAGGATTGGTGTCAACAGGAAGACGGGACTTTGCTCTGTTTTTCCTTTCCACCAGACACCAGTGCAACAGTCAGTAATGGACTAGATGAGGGTGAAAAAAGCAACCCAAACCCTGTCTCCATCTAGCAAACGTGGAACACATTCTATGTTTACACGATGGCTACATGCCATCATATTCCACATGGAAAACAAGGGTTGAGAGCCAATGTAGCATGAAGCTACAAGTGGGCTTCTCGTTGCTCTCCACCCTCCTCCAGCTCCCCAAACACTTCCAAAATCCATTGTGGAGAATTAAGAGACCTTCTGGATAAATTTTTGGAGGCACATAGGGAAGGAGGCAGGACAGGGAAGAAGAGAGAATGGAAGTTCCATTGCCTGAGCCAATTGCCGTTCAACAAGTGTATGGGCATCACTGGAAGTCACCCAAGATGCAGAGCTTAGGAGCCAGCTCATGTAGTGCCTATGACCAAGAGTGTGTGTCATCAACTTTGGCTGGCATGTCAGCTGCACACACTGATGAGAAGGACCTTGCTGCTTTGGTAGCTTCTTGACTTGTCTACTGTAATGTGTACATTGTGGGTTTGCACTCAAAGACAACTCAGAGCATTCCGTTAATGTAGAACAAGTTGGTCTGATGGTTGTCTAGTGAGGCACACAGAGTTCCAGTGGCTTCCACTTAAATGGCGTGGGTCTTGGATATACCCATGTGGACCTGTCAGAGAACTAAGGTTTATTGAGGAGGCCTGATTATGGGGTCCCACCACAGGGCAGAACAATATTTTCACTCACTGGTAATCAGCCACTATTCCCTTGGAGGGAAATATAGAAACTGTTATTGTTTTACTGTTGTATAGTTTTACTTGATTTCACTGGTTTAAACTTTTACTTGATGCTGCCTTCAGGAGTATAAAGTTGAAAATCAACCATTATACTGAAGTAATTAATTGTTTGATTTAAAAAGTTTGACTTTCTATGTTAACAACCGAAGGGAAATTTGTGTAAAAAGATGCTGTTGTTATATATATGTTAATCTACATTGTGCAACTGACTGACTGAGCTGATGTTGAGGTACAGCATGTTCCGCTGCTCAGAGAACTAAATACTTTGCAGCCAGCTTAAAATGCAGAAAGGAAAGTTGTCAGACTAGCTGAAATTAAACTTCACAAAGGGAAAGGTGAATACTGAAGCCAGATTGCAAGAATGAAGCCATGGGCTGAAGGAAGGGTATTGAGAAAGAGAAACCTAAAAGGAAGGTGAGGTGAGAAAAATGCTTGAGAAAGGCACATTTGTGTTGGAAAACTGACACAAAACTGAGTTACTCAGATGGTGAGCTCTGAAGAAACATTATAGCAGTTAAGGTCATAAGGGAATATATGGTACATAAAGTAAGGGAGCTACAGAAGGACTAAGGATGATGCACAAGAGATGCAATGGCTAAGTTTAGTATCTAGACGCCGGGAAGAATTCTGCATTTTGAGCTGACGACCCCAGCAGGAGAACCACGCCCACAAAGCAGCATAACACCCTATACATTTGAACCAAATAGCCAAGCCGATAGCTATAGAGCTGGTCTCTGATATTTCTATCATCTTGTCTCCCAAACAAACATCCAATCCTGCACTAGTACATGGATAACTTAATTAGCTATTATTTTCCATGTGTTTCCTGAAGAGTTCACACAGCTTCCTGTACTTTCACTAGAAGAGTGGTGGGGAAACGGCATAGTTTTTGAAATGCAGCTAAATATATTAGTAAACCTGCAATAAGAACGGCAGTTCAATAATGAAACTTACCTTGCTGTCAGCGCTGATGAGGAGTGGTTGCACTTTAATGCCGTCATTGACCACTGAAACAGTGGTACTGGTGTTGATAGGAGCTGCATTTTGGGGGGATGTGGAGATGATGGCATAGGCCACACCTGTGGTGCTCAGGGGTGCTGACACAGTTGTTGTAGACTCAGTGACACTTTGTGATTGGCTGTTGGGTGTCTGTACATGGCTAACAGTATTATTGGCAGTGGGAAGGGCGGGTGTGGGGTTTTTGATGCTGACTACAGTTGCCTTTTGGAACGCAGAAGGTTGTTTGGAAGGTTGGTCTCTGCATGGAGATATAGGGAGGCTGTCTGGAATCAGGGTCTTTGGCCTAACCTACAGGGAAGAAAAGACAATGTTCAATTCAGTTTTAAAAGAACAGGGAAGAAAACCAGAGATAGTGCAGGTGATCTGGGCCCATGGCAGTGGTTGTGGTTGTTTTTAATTTCAAAGCAGCAGCATAGAGTTGCTACTTTGATTCAGGAAGTGAAATTAGGGAGGAGTGCTTAATCCCTTTCAACTGTGCTTTTCTCCTACCAAATAGTTTCCGCGCCCAATTCAAAGCGCTGGTTTTGACAGGTAAAATCTTAAACGACTCAAGACTGCAATATCTCAAGGACTGCCTTTCCCCATATGAACTGACCTGGCCCCTGCAATCATCATCTGAGGCCCCTCTTCATGTGCCTCCTCTGCAAGAGGTCCAGAGGTTGGCAACACGAGAACGGACCTTTTCTGCACTGGCACCCTGCTTGTGGAATTCTCTTCCCAGGGAGGCTCACCTGGTGCCTGCATTACATAGCTTTAGGTGCCAGACGAAAATATTGTTTCATTAGCCAAAGGCCTGGGAGAAGAGCAATCTATTGCCTTTAAACCTATGTTTGTTTTTGCTATTATAGTGTGTATTTTTGTGTTTTTATATTGTAAATTGTCCTGTGATCTTCGGATGAAGGGCAATATAGAAATTTTAATAATAACAAGTCACCCACCCACCTAGGAGCTGCCATTATTGACCACAGCAATCTTACTAAAGCTAAGCAAGACAGGGAACTCTGTGTCACATTCAGTTTGGTTTTTAGAGATTATGGTTCAGGCAGTATCCTCTCCAATCGCTCACGGGCTCAGCAATCCAAACTATGGGACAAATTATTCTGGCATAATCTACCCCTGTCCCAAGTTCCGTTCAGAAGCAGGGGTACTGCTGGCTGAGCCCCCCAAATCTGGTAGAGGGAAAACAAGCCTTTGAAATAGTTTGACTTACAACACCCTTTCTGCCAGTGCTATTTCTGCTGTGTTCACTGGTCATATAACTAAGCTGAACAGAGTTTAGAATAGGGGTAAGTCTCCTCCTGCCCTTTCCCACCCCCTCCACTATACTGGAATACTCCCTGTCCATGACTTACCCCAGCCTTGGCTGAGCGGGATGAGCTCCTGCTGAGCTGGGATCAAGGAGATATGCCAGTGTATCTCTGGCTGAGCCGGGGTGAGTGACTTCAGCTGGCGTGGCGCTGGCTGACCCCACGCTCAGCCAGAAATACACCTGTTCCAAACTCTGCTCATCCCATCAGATCTTGAGTTTGTATTGCTCCTGAAAGCACCAATTCTTGCCTTGACCTACAAGCAATTTGAATGTTCCTCACTGCGGGGAAGAGGAGAGTTTCCTTGCCCACAGAAAACCAACATATCTAAGAGAAGATTGCATTTATCTCACTGATAAGTTCTGCTAATGCATTGAGATTTTTCCACCTGGGGAAGCATCCAGACATTGTATCCCATTCCTGCCACTTAAAAGTTATACGGTCTAGGAATGAATTTAAAACTTGATCCTCACGAATGTACAAATCAGCTGCAGGATTTCTCCCACCCGTTAAGCCATAAGTCTCAAGCCTTGAAGGATACTAAGCAAAGACCTTTCCTTTGTGCATGTTATGAGTTTATGACAAAAAGCAGATTGCTTCGGTTTGAAGGGCAGTAAATGGGTGCTAGATTTCACTTTTTATTTGTTGCAAGTTACAAGCCACTTCTGAGACTGCTGGAGTTAGGGGTCTTTAATGCAAGATGGCTTTCCAGAAAGGGGGGAGGGGAGACTTTACCAAATTTTGAGACTGTGCCAAGCAGCCACAGCAGCCTGCATTCTACAAATGAGACATTAAAATGACGGTCTCCAAGGATAGCATTCTGATGATATGATACCTTCTACTGGTGTAATTAATGCCATCCTGTCAACATGGCTCTAAATTAACAATGTGTTAAGCATCGCCTCAAGATTAAGCATAAATAATTTAATGTGTTATATAGTTAGCTCAACTTCTATTCCTTCCATTCCAGCTGCCATATTGCACTTGTCAGTTCTTGCACTCCCATTCTTTGGGAATAAAGCTCTCAGCCCTGTCATTTCCCAATAATCTGGTATTGAAAACAGCTGTCCGTGTCATTACCCCAAAGGCTTTGAATTTCAGCAAGCAAAAGCAGCTTTCAGCTGCTGAAGCTTGAAGAAAATAAGCAAAAGATGATGTTCCAGGCCACCACGCAGCTGGAGGGCCTTTTTGCAGTGGCCTAACACTACAGCAGGTAGGTGATTTCAGTGGCCCATCGCCCAAAAACGGCTTTGGCATGGTAAAAATAAAAAGATGGGGGCATCCACAGGCTGTCATTCTTTATTAATTTTGTGTTATCCTTACCACCAAAGTTCTTGCCACAGTTTTTCCTATTTTATCTCCCACTATGTCAGTGTTCTCAACTTTGTCTCTTGCAATTCTACTGTTCAAAGCCACCGGACAGCTCCTCTCTTAAATGACTTTTCTTATTCTCTCCTGTTGCCCTTTTAATAAACAAGACTCCCTCCTCAAACCTCTACACCTTTCTGCTCTTCCTTTGCTTGACTGTCTTCCCTACTGTCAACATGTAGATTCCAAGATCCCTGGAGATAAGAGCCTGTCTTTTCTGCTTGTGAAACTCTCTTAAAGCAGCACTATATAAATAATAAAAATTGATGGCAAAAAATCTTGGCTGAGTGCAGAGCAAAGGCAGAGTTCAGTTTATATGTGACATATCAGGAATGTGCAAAACAGTCAAATCCTGCCCTCAGTAGTCAGCATGGAAGCCTTAACCTTTGACTTCCTTGCCTCAGTGCAGTATAGTATGAATTTAAAATTCCATTAGAGATAATAGAACAATTAATTCTGCATTAAGCTGCATTTATAGCAAAGCACTGTGAGCGTTGCAATTAGGTTTGACTTAAAGTTACTTTTGTTGTAGCCTGTTTAAATGCACAGCATTTCACCATGTGCCACTGTATACTAAATTCACATAGAATGATTTCATACCAGTGTTAAACAATGCCAAATTAAGTGTTCTTATTCAAAATGAAGGATTAAGCGAAGGCAACACTGGGTCTTTTCTGCCCCCTTGTGATAACTCAGCAGAATTACGTAGCCCTCACAGGCTTCTGCCCTAACCTAATCTCAAATGTGGAAGTTAATTCATTTTTACAAATAAAAAATAATACTGCCTTTCTAACTGTGCCCAATGCACAAGTTAAAGAAACAATTAAACAGTTGCCTACAGGCCACAAGAAATGAACCCCTGACAGAACATAGAACAAGAAACCATTATCCCACACACTGCTTTAATCTCAACATTCTCCAGCAAAACATTAAGCATTAAAACAGACAATTAAAGGATTAGAGTTTTTATTTAAAAAAAAAATACAGAAAAAATGTTAAGCAGTATATACTGCAAAAATGTGCTAGATGATGATAAAATACAAAGTACAGGTTAAGTACATAGCACCAACCATTACCATTCCTGGAACAAATTATTTGCAACAATTAGGGGTCAGACAAATATTCCTTACACACCAAGAGAGCTTGTATCTACAGCAACATGCAGAAGTCCAAAACACTTCGATAACAGAAAGTTGGCAATCCATCAAAATTTTATTCCTAGATAAAATTGTGTTATATGGTAACCTCTCATATTATTAAATACTTCTTACTAACATCAACTTTCAGGCTGAGTTTAGATGTGATGCCAAATCACAGATGGGCATTAAATGAAGAGCCCTTGGGTTTGCACACTGATTCCCTCCTAACATCTAATTTCACTGCAAAATTAGAATCCTTCTTCCTTCCTATTGGAACAGGCCCCATAGGTAACACAAATTACCATATGTACTTGAATATAAGTCAACTTTTTCAGCACATTTTTATGCTGAAAAAGCCCCCCGTGGCTTATACTCGAGTGAGGCAGGTGGTGGTGGTGGAGGGACGAGTGACCTGAAAGCAGCCCTTTTTTGCCGCTCGTCCCTCCGCCGCCACCCGCCCCTGCTGCGCTGCGCCTCTCCCAACCGCGGCTCCTATACCTGCTCTTGTGAGCGGCAGAGGCGGAGGGACGAGCACCAGAAAGAAGCCCTGTCGGGCTGCTTGTTCTTCCTGTGCCGTTGCCGCCACCACCAGGTTTGTGGTGTGGTGAACCAGCTTAGACTCGAGTCAATATGTTTTCCCAGTTTTCTGTGCTAAAATTAGGTGCCTCGGCTTATATTCGGGTTGGCTTATACTCGAGTATATATGGTAAGTGGCACCCTATATACCCACTGGTGGAGGAAGAGGGGGGCGGGGGAAGCATCTCACCCCTGGCAGCATGATCCCAGTGGGGCTCCATCGCGGCTCCCCCCCGCCATGCTGGACGCCCAGCCCCCACAGAAGAAGAGAAGAAGAGTTTGGATTTGATATCCCGCCTTTCATTCCCCTTCAGGAGTCTCAAAGCGGCTAACATTCTCCTTTCCCTTCCTCCCCACAACAAACACTCTGTGAGGTGAGTGGGGCTGAGAGACTTCAGAGAATTGTGACTGGCCCAAGGTCACCCAGCAGCTGCATGTGGAGGAGCGGAGATGCGAACCCGGTTCACCAGATTACGTGACTACCGCTCTTAACCACTACACCACACTGGCCCCTTTGGGTGACACGTCGCACCCCCGGGACGCGTGCCAGCCCCGTCCCCACCTGCTCTCCGCCCCTGGTTCTGGAGCATGAAGCTCCGCCACTGTATATACCCCAGGAGGGCATCATAAGGATTGGGAGAGAAGGGACAGCAATAAATAGAAATGTGTTCTTACAACTGATGAACATAATGCAATTAGTGTGGGTTTTCCTTTTCTGGAGAAAGCAAAGTATCATTTCATTAGTATATGACAGATGTCAAACCTCTATTGAATTTATGTATATAATGATTTCAAACATAGTATGTTGTAGCTCAATTTGTTTTGATGCCTCAGAAGCTGAAAATAATCAAAATCTCAACAATATCTATATTTTGATGCCCAGCGGGAAGAGCACATTCGAAGCAGAGCTTTCCTAAACTGAGCTTTTGTTTGTTTGTTTCTATGGAGGGGCATGTGCTGTATAGCTGCAGAGAATTGGCTCAATTCACACATCACAGTAAACTATACTTAATGGTTTTATGTGAATCTACCTATCTGGGCTTCTAGCATGCAGAGGAAAGAAACCATGATCCTGCACTCAGCAGTACAAATGTCTAAACCACAGACTGTGGTTTGTTTTACTCAAACAAACCATGATCAAACCATGAACATACAAACTTGGGTACATATCATGATTTATAAACACTAAATCAGGCATTGTGGTTTGTTTCACCCCAGATCTATCAGGGAAGAACAAAGTGGATGAGATCCATTTATGCGTGGTAAGCCATGGTTTATCACAACGTCTATTTACATTAGAATGTCTATCTTTTCAAAATCAGCATATTATATATTCTCATGGGGGTGAGAATGCTTAATCTACACATTAGAGCAAAACATCACACCTACAGAACAAGGTAAGAACCAAAAAGCCAGGTAACATCAATATCAGTGTCATCCACTGTCCTCAAAGATATAAAAGCTTTTCTAAAGAGGTTGATTTTTACCAATTACCCAAAAGACTCCAAAGAAATGCCTATGTGAAATTTTCTAAGCAAGGCAACTCATAGGAAGGGCACTACAACTGAAATAGTCCGGCTTTTTATAACCACTGATGCAGATGTCTCAGATTGCTACAAAGGGTCCAGACCTAAGTCTTTTGAATTCAAGCGCAAAACTTCTAACTGAATGTTAAAAGAATGTACCTCTTGTATGACTCTTGAATGTTATGACAGGAATCTAATTAGCCACAATATTTTCCCTTCACATCTTATGAAAAGGAATTGCTCGTTATCATACAAACAGGCTCTACGACCCAAAACTAATTGTTACAGAAGATCTTACAGCCTCCTCTAAAGACTGAACCTTAATTGCAAACCACATTTCTTTCTGACAATCCTTGCCATTGCTAACTAAGGGGCTATTAGGGAGCTGATCCTAGGCTGAACCTTCAATGTATTTGCACAAGTTGCTGCAAAAGTGGCCACGGTTTTAAGAGTGGCAGTGGAACTATAAATGCAGAAATGGCTAGTAGAATACTAGTAAAACTCCACCAAAGGTATTTTCAGAACCAACTGATTCTTCTTCTTTTAAATTCTCGAGATTCTAAATTTTGTAGCTTTAATTTATGTTTTAAATTTCTGCAATATTTTATTAAAATGAGCTGCTCTGAGGCCTGCATGATGAAATATTGGATGTGAGTTTATAAACAAACAAACAATCATAGCAGTTAAGGGATTAATATTTGGGTTTACTTATAAAGCCAGTCACCCTATGGCAGGTCACAACTCACAGGTTGAGAAATGATGCTCTTAAAGCCTGCCATGCGCTGATCATCACTCAACCACTCACCACCATTTTGGAAATTGTGGGGAGCCTATGCTGACAGTTGTGAGCTACATTCCTGCCATGCGTGGAGAGATGCACCCAAACTTCCCTGCAGCCCAGAATGAGGCAGAGGTCCTAAGCAGGACGTTGCTTGGCCTTGAATCTCCATGGCTTTGCATAGGGCAAACTGCATCGTTTTCAGGTAAGCGTGGCAAAGGGGTCTGAAAATCCTCCTGTGGCAGGCTGCCTATCTCACAAAAGGAACTGCCATTGAACCTGCATCTTTCAGGATGAGGCCTCATGAAACACTTCAGGCTTTCCTCCCCTCCTCTTTGTTGTCTTGTCTGACTATCCCTTACTGCTGAGAAATGTGCCCAGGAGAGGCGAGGAGGTCAGAAAAAGAAGCACCAAAAACCCAGACGGCTGCTGCCTCTGCAGCGATAGGTTAAGGTCCCTGACCATTAGGTCCAGTCGTGCCCGACTCTGGGGTTGCGGCGCTCTTCTCGCTTTACTGGCCGAGGGAACCGGCGTACAGCTTCCGGGTCATGTGGCCAGCATGACTAAGCCTCTTCTGGCGAACCAGAGCAGCGCACAGAAACGCTGTTTACCTTCCCGCCAGAGCAGTACCTATTTATCTACTTGCACTCTGATGTGCTTTCAAACTGCTAGGTTGGCAGGAGCAGGGACCGAGCAATGGGAGCTCACCCCATCGCAGGGATTAAAACCGCTGACCTTCTGATTGGCAAGTCCTAGGCTCTGTGGTTTAACCCACAGCGCCACCCGCGTCCCATCTGCAGCAATACAGAGCATTAAAAGCACATAGTGTTTCTCCAGTGGTCACAGGCATTACTGAAAAGGCGGATGCAATGGTCACACAATCATATTACAGAGAACATGCAAAGGTAAGGCCATTTCTATTAAATAGTAACTGAACTGCTGCTTAAGTGATGGCTTTCCAGTCAGGAAGGCCTGACCATTCTCAACTCTACAACCGCCAGAGGTTTAGGAAAATGCAGTGATTTACCAAAAGACCTTACTGGCCCAAGTCCAACAATGGACAAATTCAGCCGGCAAGTGGCTTGGACTCAGGCCTCTCAGATACTTGTCAATCATACCCAGCAATTTTCCTTCAGGGGCACATGCACACTTAAATCCAACCCTCTCCAGAATGACAGATGAATATTATTAGCATTGGCTCGTTTCTGGAGATCCAAAAGGAAGCAGTATTTCTTTTTAGTATTCCAAAGTTTGGGAACTTGCTTTATTAGAAAAGTTGAGCAACCAGTTACATATTTCCAAGGGACTATGTAAAAGATTGGCAGAGGTTTGGATTGATTTTATGACATACGTTGATAAGGAAGAACAGTCTGCCACCCCCCTCTGCTTATCAATGATATTATTCTTTAAGATTCACCACACCCTTGGCATGAATGGGTTTTATTTGATTCTGTGTTTAAAAGCATACTCAGTCTTCTATTTTTGTTGTACTATCCTGTTGTGTACATTTGTTGTGGTTGATGATGATGATGTTAGCCCCTGTTTGCTTTCAGTCACTTTTCTTGCTTTAATACACACACACAGAAATACTATTTGTGATTTTGCACATGCAGGATTGGCTAGGACTGTTTGTGTTTGCAGCTTGCTTCCTTGGGTGAATGGCTGCCCGGACGATTAAGTGGGTTGACTTGCTGGTACCTAAACAAATGATTTACTCTCTGAATATCAGAACACACAGCCCATTAATAAAAGCACACAATTCACGAAAACAGTATTTTTACCTGAGGTAGCACTGCTGGTCTTTGTCCTGCCAACCTCTGCAAGGAGCTCACCTGAGGAACTGTAATCGGCACAGCTGCAATGGTTCCCAAAGCCTGCCAGAAGAAATGAATTTTCAGGATTTGAAGTGGTCCAAAGAGAGTTGTCATGCATGCCTGTTTTCACCTCACTGCAGCTTTGGGACAGCTGCCGCTGCTCAGGGTCTAGCCTGCTTCATAGGGTTGTTAGGAAGATAAAAAGGATATTTATTTTATTATATTCCACCGTTATCATCAAGTGATCCAGGGAAGGTCACAACAATAAAAATAGTGGTACCTTGGGTTAAGAACCTCATTCGGTCTGGAAGTCTGTTCTTACCCGGAAACTCTTCTTTACCTGAAGCACGACTTTAGCTAATGGTGCCTCCCGCTGCCGCCGCTTGATTTCTGTTCTCATCCTGATGCAAAGTTCTTAACCCAAGGTACTATTTCTGGGTTAACGGAGGCTGTAACCTGAGCGTATGTAACCTGAAGCGTATGTAACCCAAGGTACCACCGTACACCATAAAGTCAAAAGAAACCTTTGGTGCTCTCTGTGACACACTTAATCAGAAGATGGCTGGTTCAAGTCACCTGAGGACATCTGTGGGCAGGATCTCTCCACTGCAGGGGTTGGACTATATGACCCTTGGGGTCCCTTGCAACTCTACAATTCTCTGATTCTAAAACCAGCATGGTGGTGTTAAGTTCTCTCCCTCTGTTCTTTCCTAAGACAAACCAGGTGGCTAACAGGTGGCTTCTTTAAATCATCCTCCATTTCCAAAGGCCGGGAGGAAGATGTCATTTTTTATCTGGCACTGAAAACTAATTGAAGTTGGTGCCAGTCAGGGGCAAAGATACTCCACAGCTGGAGTGCCATCACTGAGAAGGCTCCATCCAAAGGCCCAGCTCCACAGGCTTCACTTGGTGATGTAATGACAAAAAAAGAATAAACCCCCTGCCTGCCACCATAAGTTTCCTAGAAGAAGGGCTGGTTCAGATTAGACAAATGAAAGCCAAACTTTATGGTTTTCTGAACTGCATATGTTTTAAAGGATTCCTTCAGATAGAGACTGTAGTTTAAAAACATGAATACTACTTCCATTGGAATGCTGCATTTTGAATTCTTAATCTTTTTTATGTCTGCCTCACACAGTATGAATTTTTGTGTATCATTTTCACATAGGAAAATATGTGTACTGCACACATAAGAACAGCATCACATAAGTCTGTTTCACTGTAGGAGAAAATCCTGATTTTTTGTGGGTGTCTGTGGTATTCTAATACAGTGGTACCTCGGTTTAAGAACAGTTTGGTTTAAGAACAATTTCATTTACAAACTCCGCAAAACTGGAAATAGTGTCTTGGTTTGAGAACTTTACCTCGGTCTAAGAACGGAATCCAAATGGTGGAAGGGCACTGGTGGCGGGAAGCCTCATTAGGGAAAGTGCGCCTCGGTTTAAGAACGGTTTTGGTTTAAGAACGGACTTCTGGAGCTGATTAAGTTTGTAAACCGAGGTACCACTGTACCACATAACAGACTTGTGTTAATTCACCTGATGCAATGGCACAGAACACAAAAGTGATATCCACATAAGAAATATTTTGTGTGCTGCAACTCTAAGAGACACATACCACCTTTCCTTGTTTCACATCTAATCAGAAGAAATTACCAATATTTAATAGTTTTAATAAAAAGCAGAAAATGTATCAAATATCCTCTTTCTATTCTTCAGTTGCCTCCTTTCCCCAATTCCATGTTGCATTTATCTGGCACAACTCATAACCCTAGAAACTGTTTGATCATGAGTTGCATCCATGGGTTAGCTCTATAAAACAGCAAAAGCTTTGCTTGTTTGTTAAACACACACACACAGAGGCCAAAAATAATAAAAAAGGGGAGCTGAAGGGGAGAGGAACAGCCAGACAGCTTCATTGTACTGCCAAGTTCATTTCTCTTAGTATCTGTGGACTAGGAGTGCTGGCTGTGTTTTCCAATGAAGCTATCATTAGTCCTGTCACCTACGCTTTCAGAAAACACTGTCGATTTATTTCCCTGAAGAAGTTCAGAGTACTGTAGCTGCCTCTCAGGAGAATGAAAACAAATTATGGTATTCTTCAGTTATGAAATTTTTAGTACCGAACGATACATGCTTAATGTTTATCAGCCTCTTAATATTAAAGCTTGATGGTTTAAATTTTTCAAAGGCAATGCAAGCCCACGTTGAAAGAATGAAATGCTGCAAAAGTGGAAATCCCACGTTCTCTTGATTTTTAATGTTACCTATCTTAATTTGGCTACAGTATCTGGATTCTATGTAATAAAATCTTCACACCTTGATAGAAGAGTGGCGCGCTGAAGCCCTCTCTAGATTTATTCTCCACCGAGGTAAGTTTGGGAAAAGGTAGGTGGTGATGCAGATAATATCATGGGGTGTGTGGGCCCCATTTAGGACTGGACTGGACTCAGTATCAAGCTGGTCTTACTTCAGAGGTCCATTTACGGCTCTCAACTCAGGGAGGGGTGAGACTTAAGTGTAAAGGAGGCATTTCCTATGGTATTTCCAAGGTTGTCTAGGATTTATTTTTTGGGTTTAAACCCGTATTTTAAATGTTTTACGGAACTCAACTGATACCTAGCAGAGCTCTAATATTGGTGTAATGTTCCTTAAGTTTAGTACCAGAGAAAAGCTGTGCTGCTGCTTTCTGGGCCAACTAGATTTAGTTTGTGTGCTGGGATTTAGTTTTTTCATATTTCTTTCAAAATAATTCATTTGTCAGCATTCTGGCAGCACTAAATAAATTATTTACATGAAGAACAGGGAGTGCAGATACAGTTAGTCTCCCATAAGAATTTCAAAGCAGTTTTTGCTGCAACGTGTTAGCTTAACTCACTTTATTTTATTGAGGAAACAAAAGTCCTCAATACGCAGGGTCAAAGGAAAAAGAGTAGAGACAAAAGGGCCAGAACTCTGAATTAATGCACTCCCACATTGCATTGAAGTTGCCCAGAATGCAACACTAAAAACTAAAATTATGGGATAAGATGCCACCATTTTTATACTGAAGTACTCTGAAAATATACTCTGAAGCTGCATGCTGAAATTTGAAATATAATCTTTTTTCAGTCCCACTGCCTCACAGGATAAGGAAGAGATTATATTCAGGAAAACCATTACAAAGCCATGAGACCCGGATGGCTCTTCACACCAACTCCTGCAGGGTCCTTTTTGGAGTGGCGTCACCTGCAAAGACAACAAACCCTTTTCTGTGTGCAGTGCTAACCATGACTGCACAGTCCAAATCACCTTTATTTCTTTTTTGTACCACTATGGTTGATCCCCCACCCCAGGCATAATAAGCGCTATAGTCCTACATTTGTCCAAAACAGACACAACAGATTGATAATACTTTGAAGGGCAGAGAAGCAGCAAAAAATCAGCATGAAAGGAGAACCATCTGGGGTGAGAGAAGGTGAGCACCCAGCATTTGTGCGCGTCTCTTTTTGGGTAGGTGTGACTGAACCCCTCCAGTCCCCCTTCTTTACTTGTTTATTATTTAAACAATTTGTACCCCACCCTTCCATAAGCAATGTCCAAGACAGCTAACACATTTAAAACCAATAGTACCTCAATAAAACTATTAATAGCAAAGAGCAGAGAGAGCTGGGCAGCGAACTCCGATAACATCATGAAAGAAGCAAATCAAACACACCAATAACACTGAACATTACCTACACAGTACCTTGTGCACTAAATATATCAGAAAGATCAAGCAACTAACTTCTTATCAACCAAATGCCTTTTCCGGAGTGGAACCATCAGAGGGTGAGACCTCAGTCCCAGCCAGCATGGCCAATGGTCAGGAATGACAGGAGCCCCATGGCTATTCCTGCAGTAACATATCCATACCTCCATCAATCTACACCCACACACTTTCATCCACACATACAAGCATACTCTCAACCATCACTGGTCCCAAGAATTCCTGGGATGCATATAGAAAAAGGCTACACAGCACCATCATGGCAGCCTAACACGGTGAGCCTGCCCCATCATCTAAAAAGTCTGAGCCTCCAGCCTCAATCTGGTGTCAGATCCTCTTCTTCAGGGTGCTCTATGGAGTGCCCTTGCTCAGACTGGATCTCAGGCTACTCTCAGATGCGGTCCTGCTGACCCATTTCCATGGACATCATTGCCCAAGGTATCTGGTGTCTGGAACACACCTACACAGGCATTCTTAAGTTCAGAGAGCATTTGGCAATATCCGAATGCAATCAAACAGAACGTCAAGTCATGTCCCATCCCCAGAAGGGCGTGGAGAGTGTTAACAGCCACCATCTTGCCTGACCCCCACCTGGCAACCTGAATAATGTAGGCACTTCCCTCATGTCAGTCATTTCAACTGCAGCTTTTTGTCATTCCTTGCTGCCATTCCACCTCTGTTTTACGTTTCTGAAAATAGGCATATTTTTCCTCTCCTCAACATTTGTCAAAGGGAGCAAACTTGTGCACATTCTTATGAACCTTTAATTAACAAGCTGAAAAGACATTTTTCTGGCAACGTCTGACCTTTAAGCACTTTGTATGAATTTATTGATACCAGCAGAAACAATAATTTAAAAGGTTATTTTATGAGTGCAGAATAGTTTATAGCAGCACTTTCGTCAAGATAAATGAGTTTCTTATTACTACATTTACAGCACTAAGCATTTTAATAAAAAAGGACTATAAAATCAAAAGATAACTTAAAATCTCTTCTCTATCTGCAGCCTACATGCAGTCAATACTGACCCCTTGAAATATCTACATTGCCGTGCACTTTAAAGATAGAAGGGCGAATGGTAGTGGAGCGTAGAAGGACACTATCAAAATAATCCCAAGCAGAAACTGTTTGGAAACTGCAGATGTCAAAACTGAAAGTATAAAAAAGGAGCATATATCAAATATTTTCCCTATACATATTTTAATACATTGGTTTTAAGAAGTACTTAAGATTTTTCAAAACATAAATATATCTGGGCTGAAACTAACAGCTTGGAGCCTTGCCTAAATATATTATTTTTACAAAACCTGCACTACACCTTTAGAACTGTGCTAACCACAATCTTGTGCCGGTAGCATGATTTCCTTCCCCTCCTCCTGTTGTTGCCATTATAGTTTTCATATATTTATTTATACCTCAACTTTTTCCCTAACAGGAACTTGAGGCAGCTTCCAGATAAAAATAAAGGGGAAATGATAATTTAAAAACAATTACCGTATTTTTTGCTCTATAAGACTCACATTTCCCTCCTAAAAGTAAGAGGAAATGTGTGTGCGTCTTATGGAGCAAATGCAGGCTGCGCAGCTATCCCAGAAGCCAGAACAGCAAGAGGGATCGCTGCCCTGGTCAGCAATCTGACTGTAGCTCTTTGAGCCTGTTGAAGTTTCGGGAGCCCCACCTGGAGTGCATTACAGTAATCCAAACGGGATGTAACTAGAGAGCTTGTGGAAGGCTCTCCCCAGGGAGGCCCGCCGGGTGCCTTCGTCTGCACTAGGCAAAAACATTCTCCCAGGCCTTGGGCTAATTCAACAATCAACATGTTGAGTTTAGAATTGAACTTGTTGAGGGCTTTTTATTTTATTTTACCCCAGGACATAAACTGCCACAGGGGCCGGCAGCCATGTCCAAAGTCTGTTTCGGGGCCCACCCAGCCCCTGTGGCAGTTTATTTCCTGGGGTAAAATCCAAACCTCAATAAATTCAACCTAAACTCAACAAATTCAATCCTAAAAAAAGCTCAACAACTTTGGGGTAAAATCCTAAAAACAACTTTGGTCAGCCCTCACGGCCCTTCACTTCATCAAATCTGGCCCTCTTTGAAAAAAAGTTTGGACACCACTGACCTACGGCCTTTTTAACTAGGGTGGGGGCGGTATTGTTTTTGTTTGTTACTATTTTGTTTGTTACTGTATTTTTATGTTTTTATATTGTAAACTGCACTGGGATCCTTAGATGAAGGGTGGGATAGACATTAAACAAACAAACAAAGGCGTGTTTCACTGTGCCCAAATCAGACATCTCAAGGCTAGCACCCTAGTTTTCCCTGTGCAAATGCACTCCTGACCCCGGCAGAGAACTCAGCATCCATTCTGAGGGTCCAGGAGCAAGCCCACGGGAGTCAGTCTTCAGCATGTGAGTCAGTTTCCCCATCCAGCCCAGGATGAATCCCCATTCCCTGTTCTGCCTTCCAAATGACCAAGAGACCTTTGCCTTGTCTGAAGTTTCAACTGGTTCCCCTTCATCCAGTCCATTACTGATGGGAGACAGGTTCAGAACAGAGTCCTTGAATTTAGGTGGAAAGGAGAAATGGAGCTGGGTGTCACCAGCGTACTGGAATTGGAAGGAAGGGACTTTGGTGCTACAGACAGCACCAGCTCCTTCAAGTCAGTGCAAATCCCTCAAAGAACAAGAAAGGGGAAAGAAGCAAATGCGGCACAAATGACAGAGTGCTACTCTAGGTTAATTAGTTTTTTATCTGTTTATTACATTTACACAACACAAGTTCAGCTCCTACGGCAGCTAACAAAACATAAAAGCACTAAAATCAAAGTGTGATCCAATACATGTCTTCCTAGAAGCAAGTTCCAGTGAGTTCAGTGTAGCTGATTCAACATCAGTATTACAGCCATAGTTGATGAAAACACTAAAATGACAGCAACTACAGGTTTAAAAAATTCAAAATATCTGAATGTACGGAATATAAAGGAAATGTTTTATATTGTGTAACAAAGTGAAAGTAAACTAAAACTCATTTGATTCTATTATTCTTTCCAACAGCATGCTTACTTGTTCATAGACATTAAAAAACTGAGCGCTTGAATACTGCCCAGTTCAACAAGTTTTTTAAATTATGAATGTTCTTAAAATTTAAGCAAATACAAAAATGTACCCAGACATATAAAAAAGACAGATATCAGAATACAATGGAAAAAATCCCTCCTCATCCTAAAATTTCCAGTTACTTCAAGAATAAACTTAGTATCAGGTGCAAAAAAAAGAGGAATAACTTAGTACTGATTATGTATTCTCTACAGTTACAAGATGGAAATTCAAGTCATGGCTGAAGGCAACAGTAGATAAATTTTAGTGTGCCTCTTTTGCTTAAACCTAATCCATTTCAAGGAAAAAGCAGCGTGCTCCTCACTGCACCAAATAATAATCAGCAATGGTGTAAGAAAACAGTTCCTGCCAAAGGGTTAAGGGGCTGTTAGTTCCCAAACTTTTTCATTATCAGCCCGTTACTGAAAATATATACCGGTATATGAATCTGCTTTCTCTGAGGGTGTTTCCCCACAGTAAAAAAAAAGAGATTGTTAAAATTACCTTTCATGAATAACTGTAGTAAAAATCTGATGTTGTGACCGCTAATCATTTTCTCAAAGTATGTATACATTTCTACAAGCAAATACTGCTTCCTGCTGCAAAGACACCTAAAGCTATTTTAAAGATGTTTTTGTCTGCTACATGTTCAATATTGGAAACAGAATGGATTGTAATGTGGTACTGACAGGGGAACAGATTACTATGGCAACAGCAAAGATGAAAATTCTTAACCTGAATGGATATTCACTGAAGTAATTGCAGGGTGTTTGGTTTTGTTGTGGGTTTTTTTTTATTTAAAAAAACCCATTCTACATTCATTTTGCAACGAACAGAGAATTCAACCTTGAGCTTGATTTATATAAATGCCAAGTGCTAAATGCAACCTTTAAATGTAAGCTGACTTTTAAAAACTTGAGGAACTGAACTCAGTGATCACCCTTTGTTTTGAAAGCTTTATTTTCCACAAGCATTGCAACTATTTTTATTCACAGAAAAAAAACACAACCTTTCATGTGGAAAGCCACATTTCCCTCATCCTTTCCCTCATGTGGAAAGCCACATTTCCCTCCTCTTTATCACAAATGTGAACGTGATTTTCAAGTTTTAACTAACATATCGATGTCTCTTAAAAGAAATCACCAGTTCAGGCCCCAATTCTGAAAAGAATTTAACCCAGGCGTTTTCAAAGATTTAAAAGAAATCTGCTACATACTACAGCAATCTGCATCAGACAAAAAACTTTTTAGTGTGTTGATTTTCAATTTATATTACTTATATTACAACTTATACAGGGATTTAAATGAAAAGCAAACTATGCATTTTCACAGGACATAAAGTTAAATATTATCATGGAAATTTTCATTTCAAAAGTTTACAAAGGAACATGTTTCTGTAAGTTTGTGAGCTTACTTTTCTTGGCAAGGTTTGATTTGGTGGTGATAGTTCCCAACTCCCCTATGTACTTCTTACATAGGAGTAAGGGGACTGCTTAGGTTGATTCACAGAATCATAGAACCATAGAATCATAGAGTTGGAAGAGACCACAAGGGCCATCGAGTCCAACCCCCTGCCAAGCAGGAAACACCAGCAGAGCACTCCTGACATATGGTTGTCAAGCCTCTGCTTAAAGACCTCCAAAGAAGGAGACTCCACCACACTCCTTAGCAGCAAATTCCACTGTCAAACAGCTCTTATTGTCAGCAAGTTCTTCCTAATGTTTAGGTGGAATCTTCTTTCTTGTAGTTTGGATCCATTGCTCCGTGTCCGCTTCTCTGGAGCAGCAGAAAACAACCTTTCTCCCTCCTCTATGTGACATCCTTTTATATATTTGAACATGGCTATCATATCACCCCTTGACCTCCTCTTCTCCAGGCTAAACATGCCCAGCTCCCTTAGCCGTTCCTCATAAGGCATCGTTTCCAGGCCTTTGACCATTTTGGTTGCCCTCCTCTGGACACGATTCACCCATGGAGCCTTATGGAATCTGAGTGATTAAGCAAAATTCAAACTGATAAATTTATAGAAACATGATCATTTGCTAATTTTTGGATTGAAAGTTTCCATGTTACTATTCAATCTTATGTATATAGTCATACCTCAGGTTAAGGTAGCTTCAGGTTAAATCTTTTCAGGTTGTGTCCTGCAGCGACCCGGAAGTAATGGAACGGGTTACTTCCAGGTTTCGCTGCTCGTGCAGACGCTCAAAATGACATCATGTGCATGCACGGCGAATCGCGACCTGCGCACGCGTCAGTTGCATTCTGCTCAGGATGCAATGGGCTGAACAGATCCCGTTCGCATCCAGAGTTTACCACTGTAGTTTGCTTTCTACTTAAACGCTTTTATATGTTAAGATTTATGTTGTTCCAATACTAATTTGGAGTCTATTGAGGGTTGAAATTCTTTACAGCAGCGGTTCTCAAAAGGTGTGGCAAGAAGATTCAAGGGCAACCAAAAAAACATTTAAACATTTCAGTGTAGTGTAGTATAATATCCACACCTCTCTTCAGGAGCATTAGCTGATTATATCACAAATTACATCACAGCTAGCTATTCTTTTACAGTTCCCCATGGCTTATTGTTGTGAATGGGGATTTTCAACTCTGACAAATGTGAAAGATCAGAAAAGAGAAAGTGTTGAAGAGATGAGACCTCGTTTGTTTCAAATTAGACCTATATAAATAAGATTACCTGGCCAAAGCAAGCTTGCTTCTCTCATTGAGTTTGCGTACATATGTAAGAGGCTTGTTTATACAGTCGTACCTTGGTTGTTGAATGGAATCCATTCCAGAAGTTTATTCGACTTCCGAAAACATTTGACAACCAAGGCACGGCTTCCAATTAGCTGTAGGCGTTTCCTGCAGCCAATCGGAAGCTGCGTCCGACATTTGGTTTCCAAAGAACGTTCACAAACCAGAACACTCACTTCTGGGTTCGGGAGCATTCGGGAGCCAAAATGTTTGGGTCGCAAGGCGTCAGGGATCCAAGTTACAACTGTGATTACATTTTGGGAATGATTCATGCTCATATGTAGCTCCATTGTTTCATAATTTCTCTGTGTCCCGTGATGATATGATAAAATAGCTGTGCACTATGTTATAAATCAAGCTCTGCTAGGAGTGGTTTCCTCTTCTTTCAAAATTCAGTGTGGCACAAGCAATTTTTTCTTCTGAAAATGTGGCCCAGAGTAAAAAGTTTGAGGACCACTGCTTTATAGTATAGTACACTTTATAGTATAGTACACTGGTCAGGTCCTCCCTCCCTCAGGAGCTCTGCTCTCATCTCAAGGCTTTGTGTATTCCAGTGGGGCAGCAGAACACAACCCAGTGGGGCTGTGGTGGCCCCTACAGCTTCTGCGACCGCCATTACTGTCTCTGGGATTGGGCTGGAACCCCAGGAGCTTTTGAGTAGCATTCCCAATATCTGAGAACATGGGCAGGAAACCCCTTTGGGAGCCGAGGATGGAAATATTATGATCAACCTGTCAAGATGCTTCCATGATGTTTTTGCAGATATAAAGCTGGAAAATGTCAAAGGCAACTCTCTGCATGGCTTGTGTGACTCAAAGCATGAGTAGGAGTTGCTCCCTTGTACACAATGGTATCTCAGTAACTTCAATAGATCGGTTGATTCTGATCATATGTGCTTCCTTGCTAAAAGTGACACTAGCTACTTCTTCACCGAAACTGGAGAGCACCGTAAGAAAAAGTCAGTTCTCATATTTAAAGAACTGCTTTACAGTCATGATCCCAATTCACCATAAGCCTTGAAAACAGTTGAACATTTTTCTTCAGGTACTTTAAGTTAGCATTTTTATCCCCACCATTCTTGGCATACAGAAGAGATGCAATTTTCCCTGTGGTTCAAATGAGGTACAGTTCTCCTCAACAAAGGAATTGTACAGATCTTTACACTTCCGTTCTTTGTCTGCAAAGATGCTGCTGTCAATAACCATACAATCTAAATCGGTTTCCATGAAAGAATTGCCAAACTCTCAACGAACACCCTGGGATCTCTCTCTTTTACTGGTTTAATGCCTCTACCAAACCTCAATTAGGCAACGTATCTCTGGACAACTACCACCCAGCATCTCAGCACAGTGGTACCTTGGTTTAAGAACAGCTTAGTTTATGAACAACTTGGATTAAGAATGCTGCAAACCTGGAAGTAGGTGTTTTGGTTTGTGAAATTTGCCTTTGAAGCAGAACATGTTGAGTGTGTTCCATTTGTAAATTGAGTCCCCGCTGCTATGGGAAAGCACGCTTTGGTTTAAGAATGCTTTGGTTTAAGAACGGACTTCCGGAACGGATTAATTTCGTAAACCAAGGTACCACTGTACTGCATTTTGTCTGCCCCATCATACTTGCCTATATAGTGCTCTTTTGCTCATGCACTTTCCCCCCTCATGATGGGAACAAGTGGTTTGTTCTGTGACGTAAATTGTACAAGGCAACTCCCAGACTGAAGCTTTTCCATGTCCATCCTCCTCCTGCTCAGTTTCATAGTCTGATGAGGCTGCTTTTGATTTATAATGGACACTACAACAGGTGCCACATAATACCGGTTCCGCATTTCTAAGGACTTGATCATTTAGTATTGTCAGCACACACTAAACTTTGGAACTCCCTACCTATTGAGATCAAGCAGCAATGTGCTCTTTTTGGTGCCTGCTGAAACATTCTTGTTTAGACAAGCCTACCCAGATGCTTAGAAAGCTGAGGTAATTTTAACCTGTTTTAGTATTTTAACTTTTGTATGTTTAAAAGCAGGGTTGTGGTTTTCTCTCTCGAAATTATTGTTTTTATATTTTTGTAAATTGCATTGAGGTTTTTCTTAACAATCAAGAGGGGTGTAAATTTAATAAAATAAATAAGTAAAATTTAAAAGCACAGAGTATTGTAAAACATGGAGGATTATAACATGCACTATGTAGCTTGGCCCCCTTATCAGCTAGTAATGTGTTAAAATGAAATTTAAACAGAAGATTGTAATTTATATTTATTTATAAAATAATTTAGATACTGCCTTTTAGCTCTCAAGTGCCCCAAAGTCTGTTTTCCACTACAATGGTCCAATTAACTTAAATATCATAGAATCATAGAACCATAGAGTTGGAAGAGACCACAAGGGCCATCGAGTCCAACCCCCTGCCAAGCAGGAAACACCATCAGAGCACTCCTGACATATGGTTGTCAAGCCTCTGCTTAAAGACCTCCAAAGAAGGAGACTCCACCACACTCCTTGGCAGCAAATTCCACTGTCAAACAGCTCTTACTGTCAGGAAGTTCTTCCTAATGTTTAGGTGGAATCTTCTTTCTTGTAGTTTGGATCCATTGCTCCGTGTCCGCTTCTCTGGAGCAGCAGAAAATAACCTTTCTCCCTCCTCTATGTGACATCCTTTTATATATTTGAACCTGGCTATCATATCACCCCTTAACCTCCTCTTCTCCAGGCTAAACATGCCCAGCTCCCTTAGCCGTTCCTCATAAGGCATCGTTTCCAGGCCTTTGACCATTTTGGTTGCCCTCCTCTGGACACGTTCCAGTTTGTCAGTGTCCTTCTTGAACTGTGGTGCCCAGAACTGGACACAGTACTCCAGGTGAGGTCTGACCAGAGCAGAATACAGTGGCACTATTACTTCCCTTGATCTAGATGCTATACTCCTATTGATGCAGCCCAGAATTGCATTGGCTTTTTTAGCTGCCGCGTCACACTGTTGGCTCATGTCAAGTTTGTGGTCAACCAAGACTCCTAGATCCTTTTCACATGTACTGCTCTCAAGCCAAATATGTTTTTCAACACCACGGTAGAGCTTCAGAACCAAAGCCATTTAACACACTACTGCTGAATCAGGATTGGTGTTTCTTCCACCATGCCTCTATTTTCAAAAGAAATCTTAGAAAAGAAAGTTAGTAGAAATGTCTGCAATTCCCCCAAAATGCACCCAGCGTTCAACATTCCAGTTATGAATCATTCAAATGCCTTACAACCTTCTCCAGCAGGTATATGGTGGCCTCTACTGGATAAGGGGAGGGGGATCATTGATTTGTTTTTTCCTTTTTCCACGAGATCTACAGATGAAGGGCAGTCTTCTTCTTCTTCTTCTTCTTCTTCTTCTTCTTCTTCTTCTTCTTCTTCTTCAATAAAATTAAGGCAACCAGGGAAATTCCAAAGCTTTTCATTTCTGAAAATTGTGTATCCTTCTGGAGCGACTCTTCGAACTAGGGGTGGGTGGCACCGCTTTGCAGTGGTTCCAGTCCTACTTGGATGGTTGTTCCCAGAGGGTGTTACTTGGGGAATGCTTTTCAGCGCTGTGGAGCCTTCAATGTGGGGTTCCGCAGGGCTCAAACCTATCCCCCCACATTGTTTAACATCTACATGAAACCACTGGGTGGGGTTAGCTGGAGGTTTGGAGTAGGTTGTTAGCAGTATGCTGATGACACTCAGCTCTATTTCTCCTTTACATCTGCAGGTGAGACAGTGGAAGTGCTGGACCAGTGTCTTGCCTTGGTAATGGACTGGATGAGAGCCAACAGACTGAAGCTCAATCCAGATAAGACTGAGACACTGTTCCCTAGACCAGATGGGTGGGAGGTGGCCTGCTCTTGATGGGGTTACGTTTCCTCTGAAGGAGCAGGTTTGTAGCTTGGGGGTCCTCCTGGATCCTTTGCTGTTGCTCAAGGCTCAGGTGGCCTTTGGCCTGGAGTGCCTTCCATCAGCTTCGGCTGGTGGCCCAGCTACGCCCCTATCTAGACAGGGATAACCTAACTATTGTTGTCTATGCTCTGGTAACCTCAAGGTTAGATTACTGCAATGCGTTATACGTAGGGCTGCCTCTGAAGACAGTTCGGAAACTTCAGCTGGTGCAGAATTCAGTGGCCAGGTTGCTCACTGGAGCAAGACGGTCTTGAGCATATTAAACCGATCCTGGTTTGACTGCACTGGGCCCAATTTAAAGTGCTGGTTTTGACCTATAAAGCCCTAAACGGCTCAGGACCGCAATACCTCAAGGACCACCTCTTCCCATATGAACCTACCCGGACCCTGAGATCATCTTCTGAAGCCCTCCTACGTGTGTCTCCTCCTTGAGAGGTCCGGAACATGGCAACACGAGAACGGGCCTTCTCTGCAGTGGCTCCCAGTCTATGGAATGCTCTCCCCAGGGAAGTTCACCTGGCACCATCCTTATACACCTTTAAGCACCAGGCAAAAACGTTCCTTTTTAACCAGGTCTTTGGTTGACCTGATCAACATCCCATACCCTTTTAAAATGTGGCTCTTTTTTGGGGGTATTATTAGGTTATTGCTTTTATATACTGTGATCTTTTTATGTGAACCGCCCTGAGACCTCCAGGTATAGGTCAGTATATAAATTCAAATAAGAATAAGAATAGTAAGGATAAGCATATCTCATACTCTGTTGCTCTTAATAAGAGGTGGAGGAGGGTTCATCTAACAAGTTATTTTCAGTGGGAAAGATTTTAATGTGATTAATAAACTTATCCAAATCAATCGGCTGTAATGCTATATACATTCGTCTGGAAGTAAGCCCCACTAAACTTACTGGAGCTTACATCTGAACAATCACGAATAGGATTGCAGCCTAAAAGTGTATGTGTATGACTGGATCATGCTCAAGAGATTCCCCACCCTGCCACAAACCAAAAAGCTGGTACATCTTAGCATTACTAGAGATTCCAGCCATCCAGAATCAGTCTTCATATAGTTGATTTATTCCCCTTCTGTCATTGCCTCCAGAGTTGTAAACAGAACTAACTTTTAAAAACATTGACATTTTCATGAATGCTAGCCTGGCAATTTACATGAGGCATAAAACAACCTCCAAGTACAATGAAACAGCTGCAATGCATTACCATTTTAAAGAGGGCTCTTTTATTTTCTGAAGTGAATCAAAGCTCTCCATGGGGGTTATTTTGATTGGCACCAACACAATGAAGAGCTATTCCTAGGATTCATTTGAGCAGAAGAATCCTAACTTTCTGTTTATGGGGTTTCCTTTTAGGTATGTGTTTTGTTTTTGAGTATAAAATGCTTCATGGGGAAAACACACCCATTCCACCTTCACTCTTACACTTCTGTAACTGTTAATTCAAGAGCTGTGGTTTAAAACCACTGTCAGGAAAAAAAAGTACTAGATTATTTCAACATGGAAGTATTTGCAACTTCCCGACACAAATTACTGTCCTCTTGAATTAAGAAAGCCAACTGATTTTGTTCTGAACCCATGCAAATGGAACTTTAAGGGACTCCACTGAATACAGTTTTGTTTCTTTCTCTGTAAAGGTGAAGGTAAAGGACCCCTGGACAGTTAAAAAAGGTAAAGGGACCCCTGACCATTAGGTCCGGTCGTGGCCAACTCTGGGGTTGCGGCGCTCATCTTGCTTTATTGGCCGAGGGAGCCGGCGTACAGCTTCCGGGTCATGTGGCCAGCATGACTAAGCCGCTTCTAGCAAAACCAGAGCAGCGCACGGAAACGCCGTTTACCTTCCTGCCGGAGTGGTACCTATTTATCTACTTGCACTTTGACATGCTTTCAAACTGCTAGGTGGGCAGGAGCAGGGACCGAGAAATGGGAGCTCACCCCGTTGCGGGGATTCGAACCGCCGACCTTCTAATCGGCAAGTTCTAGGCTCTGTGGTTTAACCCACAGCGCCACCTGCATCCCCCTGGACAGTTAAGTCCAGTCAAAATCAACTATGTGGTTGCTGCAGTCCTCTGCCATACCTGCTTCTTGTAGGTCATTTTTGCCAGGGCCAGGCAGCTTAGTCAAAACTTAAAAGCTAATCATCATCTGAACATGCGCCAGCAATGACTTATTGCTTTGAGTGTCTAGCATGATGAATTTGGATGGTACAGGTGCAAAATCAGCATATAACCATATAACATTCCCAATTGAAATTTGAAGTGATACATTTTGGGATGTGACACTTTTCCTTGGAATATATATTAGCATTACAGGCTTGGAAAGTTCATACTCCAAATCCATTCTTTTTGAACCTGTCCATCACTAACTGGGAATGTCTTCTTGCTAAGAATTGTAGGGCATAGACTATTTGGAGAATGAAGTTTCCTTTATGATTCAACTCTGTCCTGTGAGGACAGTAGTAATCCACATTTAAAATTAATTTCTTTGGAAGTTAACTATTGTTCAAAAAAATTACATTATTCTAATATTCAAAGATTTGCTACCTATTGTGGTTATTTTAACAACAAAGGACCTAAATTTTTGATTTTCATTCTTTTGAAACTCTTACCTAGCAGTGTACTTACACAGAACCATGACAACCAGTAATTTCAGACACAGGAGAGGTATCCTCTCCACTTTGTCAGTGAAGACAGCAGGTTGGAATTCTCAGTTACAGAAAGAATGTCCTTGCACTTTTACATAAATATTAAATAGTTTCTTGGAGTCAGGCACTGATGAAATTTGAATGCCTGCTTACAATGGCTGGAACTTTCCTGCAGCTAAAGGCCGGAGGGCAGCCCATAGGAGATTCAGGTATTGGGTAGTTCATAGGAAGTTAAATGATAATCCTGAGCAAATAAGCTCTGCCATATAAATGCACAATGGTCTAGTTATCGGTGTTTGGGACACAGGCCCTATTTCCATGTTGCTAACTAATTTATATTTTTCACCAAAAATGCCAAATATTTCTCCATTTCTGTCTGGAGTAATGTCAACATGTCTCAAAGTCTTAAGAGCAGCCACCTTAATTTACTATAGTGAAGGCTGGTTGCTTCAACATTCATACAGATAAGCAGTTCTTCACTTATAAAATCTAAACGTTCGCTGTCAATTTGTCTCTCAGCTTGCTGGAAATGTTATGTAAATTAAACTATGAAATGTTAAATCGCAGGGGCACTTTAGATTCCAGTAAGGAATTTATTGTCTTTAGCCTTTAAGAGCCAATGAGAACATATTGCATTCCGATTGTATTTCACTCTTTTAGGCTTGTGAGCTGCTCAGATAATAGTGCTATATAACAATGCTCATAGAAAGATGGAGAAAATACTGTTACATTTGAGTCCTGACACATGCCTCACCTCCCCTTTTTTTAGTTTGTCATTGCATTCCTAGAGTAAAAGGGCAATCAAAGTTCTCTCAACAGCAGCAGCAGCAGCAGCAACCACCACCACCACCACAGTCTCCTTGCCTATTAGATTGAGAGGTGTCTTCCCCTCACTTAAAAGCCACAGCTCAACAAATATGGACACAGCCTCAGATCTTTCAATAGCACATTTTTATCCTTCTCTCCCAAAAGGTAATTCTTCATGATTTGATCCTGAATGCAAATTAGCCAAGTAACAGGCACAAAAGGTAGCTAAGCGAGAGTATGTTAATTCTCTTGTGTAAAAAATCTTCAAACAAACAAAACAGGAGTATTGAGACCTTCTGAAAAGGTGGAAACTTAATTCCATGTATCCTCTTTAGGGTTTATTTGATTGTGGTTTATAAACTCTTCTCAATAAATGATACATAAATAAAAACCAAAGCCATTTTGTAATCTTTGGAAACTCTAATTAAAACCAAGGACAATGTATTATTATTTTTTTGAAAATTGTAGAGTTACAACATTAGAGACCATAAGAATAGTGCAATATCCTTCTGTCTAAAGATAAACACTTCTATTCCATTTTGAGAAGGTCTTACATGACTTAGATGTTGGAGTCTACCACTAATTTATAGGGATGGGCACAACAGTTTGAATTCCGTTGTTGGTTTGGGATTCCAACATCTGGCAAAGTCCACTCTAGCTGAATTTTGAACAGAATTCTGCATTACAGAATCTCCAAATGGAATACCCTGGCACCGGTGAGGGACACACACACTCCTGGGTGGCAAGGGGCTGTTTTACAGCCTGGACATTTTAGGCTGCAAAGGAAAACTATTCTTTGCAAAGAAGGAGTAAATAGGGGGCGGGGGGGAGGCAGTGGGGGGGGGGGAGCAGGAGATGCAACCCCCCCCAACAAAGGACACTTGCAGAAAGAGGATTTTCAGTGGGGAAGATTCCTCCTCACATCAACAAGATTTCATGGTACAATCTTTTTCAATCCTGCTATGGAGATTTGTGTCTTCAGTGAATTGCATATGAAGATTTAAAAAGGGTGCAGCCCCCAAACTAGCAACGGGTACAATCTCCCTACTAAAAAACCCTCCAGTCTTCAGGGTTTTCAGCAGGAGGATTACGTTTCCTCTTCACTAGTAGTTTTGGGGGCTGTGCCCCCCCCCCATACAAGTGAATGGAGACAGGTGCACAGGGGAGTCAAGAGCTCCATAGCCCCAAACCAAATTATTGGGTGGGAGCAGATTCCAAATAATTACATTCCAATCCAGGAGACATTTCCAGGAAAATAGTAAATCCAGATTCCTTCAGCAACCTTACTGAATTATGCAATCTTGAACCATACTTGTCTATGGATGGCTCAAAGAAACACCACCTACAAACAGCTTAAATTCTGAAAACATAAACTATGCTATGGTGTAGCGAGAAGGCACCCAGTGAATATGGGATCCATGGAGATTTAGGTAAAAACAATTTGGTATACAGTGGTAGGTGCTGATTCTATGTAAACAGATATTTCAGTGCCTATTGAACACTAACAGCAACTGAAATGCAGGAAGCTGAAGGTGGGGGTTTGGGTAGCAGGGAAAGTCCTTGTGAAGAGGGAGCTGGCCGTTTATACTAACAAATTTGGAGGTGGAAAATAGGGTCTGGGGCATGTGTTTAATGTGAGTATTAAAAAAAACTATGAAAAATCACAGTTTCACCTTTCCCTCTGTCATCATAGCACCCTGTTTATAAGCTATAAGTATTGCAGTGGACAGTCAAGCCCCAAACCTGAGTCCTTTAGCACAGTGGGGGAGGGAAAAAAGGTGCCCTTTCCTGGAATTCCCATTCCCTGTAAACTCAAAACAATGCTGGAGCCCTGCTGGTAGTAGGAGCTGGAAATACACTGCAGCATTTCACAATGGGGCCCTAATTTTAGGATCTCTTATTCAAATTCTTTTAAATATAAAATATTGAGAACCAGTCTATAGATCTTTAAGCATACACTCTTTGTTCTTCTGAGAACAGAAACAGGAATACTCTTGGCTGAAGATTATCAGTCTTCAAAAACTGGCTTAAGCTAATCAATATGCCCTGAGAAACACTTTCAAAATTACGTTTCCCTGAGCAAATTTACTCTGAAGTATCTAATCTGATTTCTTGGCACCAGAATGTTGTTCACATTGTTGCATTCATACGGCCTTTCAGAAGTCTATTTCAATCAAACGGCAAGAAAATAGCTTGCAAGGAATTTAAAACTAGACTTGAAAATGGGTACTCCCAGTTCAACTTGACATCCATGAATACAATCAAGATTATTCCTTGGTACAGCATGATCAACTACAAACACAAATTGAAAAATTACTAGATCAAAATGGATAAATTCCCCTTGAGCAGAGTCTTTGTTGTTTTTAATTTTCAGTTGACTACTTCTATATTGGAAAGCAGACACCAAAATGTTCCACATAGCTTGCAGTTTTCTGTCTGCAGAAAGAATCAAATTGAGAATTTGTTCCTCTGTTGCTTTAAGTCTCTACATACATATCCTCCAGCATTTCTCTGATGAAAACAGGGATGCTCTAAGGAAAAGCGGGACATTCCAGGATATAATCAGTAACTGGGACAGCTTCTGAAAATCCGGGACTATCCCTGGAAAATAGGGGCACTTGGAGGGTCTGGATGTATATGAAATGATTTCTGAAAAATTAGAACAACTGTGGACAGTGATAAAATCTAGTGTCTGGAATCTGCTTTCAGTAAGCCTGTGCTGATTTTGTAAGATCTTGTGCTACGGATTGTGCACCAGTCTGTGCAACAAACCAATACGTATTTTACAGAACAATCCTATGTCTTCTCAGAAGTTCCCCAGGAAAGCAGGCACCAGGTTGCAATTTTATTTTTTCAACTGATTAAATTATTATCTACTATGTATTTAGGAAAGTGGTTTCTCTGTCTGTCCATCTGTTCTCTGTTGGCTAAAGATGCTATTGCCAAACTCCGCACAAGGGTTCCTGAGGTGGGGAAAGCGGTCATTGTTGGTGATTGGATGCCATTTTGAATCAAGACGACGGAACAAAATGTGACTTTGTCTGACTTTTGACACAATGGATCCAAGCTTGCTAATTAAAACTACTCACAGTCACAACCTTTTTTGGTTTCTGCAAATTCCCAGGTGGAGAACCTGAGGCACACAGTGCCAAATATGGCTGCCCAGGCCTTTATCTCTAGCCCAAGGTGCCTCCTAGTGCTGCTGCAAAGCTGGAATGTATTCTTTAATTGTGATAAGTGTTACTTGCCTAGATGTGCACGCACGTATGCACACACAGTATATACAGGACATCTCTGAGTTTTGCATGGCTGGAACACAGACCACTAAACAATGGTGAAGAGTCACATCTGCTGTTTGCTCCTATGTCTACTTCTACCTCTGGTTTGGTGGGGTAATATCCAAAACCCAACACCTCTTTTAGCAAGATACCTGTGTAGCAAGTGACATTTTGCTTTCCCCATATTTATTTACCTACTAATTTATACAGCTGCCCCAAATAAGTTGCTAAAAATAAGTGTAGGATTTGGGGTATTACCCCACCAAATGAGGGTTTAATGCAAGTACTGTGCATTGTGCTAGGTGAGAGACTAACAATGTCTCGGCCAGGGGTCAGCAACCTTTTCCAGCCGTGGGCCGGTCCATCGTCCCTCAGACCTTGTGGGGGGCCGGAGTATATTTTTTGGGGGGGGAATGAACGAATTCCTATGCCCCACAAATAACCCAGAGATGCATTTTAAATAAAAGGACACGTTTTACTCATGTAAAATCACGCTGTCCGTGGGCTGGATTGAGAAGGCAATTGGGCCGCATCCGGCCCCCGGGCCTTAGGTTGCCAACCCCTGGTCTAGGCCTTTGGAAAGAGATTGGAAGATTCAAGACCTTTAGAATTTTATACTGCTACTTCATTGGTTTTGGATATGTTCTTAATGATGCTGTTAGCCACCCTAGGCACTGTTCAGGGAGGAAGGGTGGGATAGAAATTAAACAAAACAAATAATTCTATAGAAATCTAAACTACCCACCAGGAGTGAGGAAATTCACCCCCTAAGTCATGCACCTCCCTGGGGCCACAGCCCCCGTTAGCCTTTCTCCATGTCTTCCTTGAGAGCTTTTGCCAGGCTAGAATGTTTCCTCTTGCTTGCCTGAATGGAGAGCTGTGTGTGCAGAACTATCTGGCTTTTATATTGGCCAAAAGGTATCCTACTGTACCTAATGTAAGAGCCACATTCATTGCCCCATCAGCTTTTGCCTCTGACCCTGCTCACCATCGACACGCCCCCCCCCCCCGCCAACCCAGGTTCTCCATGATGGAATGTGGCTCTTGGGATGAAGGACGCTTATCTCACCATTCCATGGGCACACTATATATTTTGCCTACTGGGCTTGCACCAGCATCCTTTGCTCAGAGAAGCAGTTCTTACTGCAACATTTCTAGAATCATATTATGGAGTGTAGCTTGCATATGTACTTCATGCCTCTATTTATTAATCAAAAAGAAAATCTAAATAACTTGATATAACAGCTGAGCTGCCAACACAGCCAACATTTCCATGCTGTGGCTTAAGGCAATATCAGGGTTGTGCTGCTTCCACACACACGCAAAAAAACAAAACAAAAACAACAACCCTCCTTTAGGCAAATCTGAAATTTCAAGGATTGATAATGAATGGCATGGTGTAAATCAGCACTGCAAATTCCGTGGGTGTGGCTACAGCCTTGAGAATGCCACAACGCAAATAAAACCTTTCTTCTTCTTTTTCATTACTTATTCAATGCCACTTTTTCATTACTTATTCAATGCCACAAGCATATTTATTTATGTACTGAATTTCTAGCTCAGTTAAAAAACAACAACTAAAACCTCAGGGTGGCTTTTGAATCAAATAAAAAGCAATTAAAAGAGTAACACAATATCATAAAACTGCAGTTTAAAATTAAAACAGCAGAACAACAAAGCGGTCTCAAGAAGCACCATAAAACAGAGTCAGACAATATTTTAAAAGGTGTAGCGAAATTTTAAAAGTTATTTGCCTGAGGAGACACCCATGCCCATGCCTCTCACCAGCTGGACTCCGCCTCTTGGCCTCCCTCCTTGCCTCCTTCAGCTTATGATTCTGATCCTGGACTTCTGACACAGATTCTCCCTGCTCACTAAACCCTGTTACCTCTCCAGTTTCCAGCACCTTCTCCTTCTGACCACTCATCACTGTCCCACCACCAACCCCTGGCTCTGAGCCTTCTGCCCTTAGAGGTTCCCCAGCTGGTTCCTCCCACTAGTCCTCTGCATCCAACCAATCCCTGACAGTCAAAAGGAGCACACTGAACCTGGCTTAAGCACACAGCCAGGCAGTGCTGTTCTTTGACAAGAGTAATGTCACCACACTCTGCTCCTGCTGCAGTGTCCAAACTTTGGGTTACCAGTGCGAGAATCACTGGCCAGGCTCTCTTTGCCCAGGAACAGCCCTAACTGCTACACAAACTGAAGTTGGCAAAAGGTCTCCTTGCCATGATGGTCACTTGGACCTACAAGAACATTGTTGGATCCAGGAGCACCACAAACTAAGCACCCTAAATAAGCGATCTGACCACTTCTTGAACTGAGGAGTCAACCACCCATAGTCAACCACCCATCTTGTCTCAGGTTTTATGTTTGTTTGTTTGTTTTTGCTTTTGGCCAGCTTGTCACTGCAGTCACCCTAAAGCAGGCATAGGCAAACTTCAGCCCTCCAGATGTTTGGGACTACAATTCCCATCATCCCTAGCTAACAGGACAAGGCCAGGGATGATGGGAAGTGTAGTCCCAAATATCTGGAGGGCCGGAGTTTGCCTATGTCTGCTCTAAAAACTGCAAGCCTCTTCTGACTGAGATGATACAAACAAATAAGAACTGATGGTGATGATACAAATTAAGACATTTTGTGCTGCATTTTGGTCATCTAAGCTTATACATGACCCGGAAAAACTGTCTGCAGACAAACGTCGCTCCCTTGGCCAGAGTCATTCACGACTGGACTTAACTGTCAGGAGTCCTTTACTTTTTATACTTATAGCAATGCATATTTCACAGGTTTTTGGGTTAACTACTCCCTGTCTGAGATAATACAACTGTCATTTCACTATGCTGCAACAAGACTTTCCAGAATAAGGAATCTAGAAAGCAGGCTTTAGGCAAATGCCTAGCCAAAAGTACTGGCTTGCATGGCTTGTTTAAAAAGAGCCCACTGATGCTCGACTGATGTAAACATGTGTACTGCAAAACGTCTATAGCTAGCCAGATGTCAAAATGGATTTTCATATTCCTAAAGTTATTTTCCCAAATGGTTCTGGAAGCCTTGCAGAACATGATCTGAACTATATTCTTTTTTTCAGTCTTATGAACAGACAGGAACAAAAGAAAGAAATTGTCAAGAAGACAGAAGTTTATTCCAACCTGTTTGGCATGTACTCTGTGCTTTAAAACACAACTTGAACCTAAAGAAGAACCAAATTCTGTGCCAAGATTATCTGAATTCTCTTAACTGTATACATTATGCATATGAATTACTTGCATGTTTAATTTTGCATAATTTATACTTCCTATCCAAGTTATGAGGAGCAAGGCACAGAAGACCACACCACCACCACCGGAAATCTTGGAATCTGGCCTTTGCACCCAGTATCACATTCCTCTGGTTGTCTGCGACTATTCAAAAGCAGCACTACACACAGCACTAATTACACTGAACATTATTCTCCCCTCTGAAAGATAGAAAACCCATCAGAAACTGACATTTAAATCAATTAAATCAATATTTTTAAATGTATCAATTGCTTCTCTATAATAAAGGAAATATTAAAAACAACATAGCAAAATGAATAAAATCAGCAGAAGCCCCAACTCTGAATAATCAACAGCATTATTAGAAAGGTCTCTATAATCAATACATTGGGATGGGGGGGGAGTGTCAATTTCTTAAGTTCATTAGTAGGAATGAATTGGTGCCAGTGCAAATAAATGCTTGGCAAGCCTGGTAGTTTCACATCTTTCTTTACTAAATTGCAAGTTAAATAAACATGCTAAACTAGATCACTCTCCAGGGCATCAGAAAATGTTTCAATACAAATTATCCATAGGACAATTTTCTGGAAAACCCATGTCACTGACTACCCATTACTTCTTTCTGTAAGCAGGCTCTCCTGTTTCCAGACATCCCTATTTGTAGCCCCCACCTTTTGTTCCCTGCTGCTCTTTAGAGCATCCAAACCCCATTGTCATCACTGTCCGCCTGAAGGTTCCTTCTTACCATAATCTTCCTGCTCCCTCATTGCTCCAGCCTCTTCCTCCTCTATTCTCTTCACCCTTGACATGACCCCGTGTCTGTAACGTCTGAGACAAAAGGCACTCTGCATGTGCTCGCTGTCACTGAATCTTGCATCCAGGGAAACACACATACACCATCAAAGAGGCGCAGCTTCACTTCACCAAAGGAAAGGTTGGGCTTCATTTTGCAGCTGGGAAGAAGCAAGACCTCACATACTTTGCATACAAAGCTGCAGCCTCAGGGGTCTCCAGTTCAGTTAGATCTCAGGCAGCTGGCTTGAAAGGGTGTCTTGCCCAAGACTCTGGAAAGCTGAAGACTCAGAGTTTGACCAAACTGGGTCGGACTGGCCAGCGGTTCACTAGACTGCATGGCCATATTCAGAGTATGCTCAGAGACCCAGAGTGCCGGAGCCTTTTAAACAACCCTCAGTACTCAAATGCGGACCTGAGCGGCCACCCTCGCCAATCACTCCAGCATCTCTACCTCCTTACTTCCACACCTGAGTTATTTTTATTGCTTGAGTCATCATAAATCGATTAGCGACTGATGGCAACGATCTTCCAGCCCGTGAGCAAAGTTTCACAGTTCCAGGACTATGGAGCAAGGTGGGTTTCCAAAGCAGACACAGGTGTGCATCTCTCCGGAGCTTTTCGGGCTCCCGTTGCATCCCCTGCCCGGCGCCCCCCTCCCCCCCGCCCCGCTCACCTGGCTCTGGCGGGCGCCGCAGCCCCCTTTGGTCTGCAGGTTGATGGGCGCGCTCTGCTGGCCGCCGTTCAGGTGCGCGGTCACCATGGCCACGGGACCCTTGGACGGCAGCACGGAGAGCGCCACGCTCGGAGGGCCGGAGCTGGGGCCGCCGCCGCCGCCTCCTCCTCCTCCTCCTCCTCCGCCGGCGGGCGCTTGGAGGAGCGCCGGCCCCGCCGGATGTTTGGTGCTGCCGCTGGCGCCGCCGGTCCCCGCTGCTGCGCTGCCCACCAGCACCGCGCCCGAGCAGCTCCGCACGGCCAGCTTCTGCAGGGGAAGAGAGAAGGCGACAGGCGCTCAGGCTTCCCGCCTCGGAAAGCGGCTCTCCCCGCCCCCGCCCAGCCCCGGGAACCCCGCCGCCCTCCCCGCCCAGCAGCCCCAGCTGCGCTGCCTTCGGCTCCGCGGGGGCTTCTGCTGCCAGAGCCGCCCGCTTGTCGGCCACCCCCGGCGCTGCAGGCGGAGGGCCGGGCAGGCGACTGTTTCCTCCCCGTCGGGGCTGCGCGCTTCCTTTTGCGCAGAGCAGAGCGGGGCAGCGCCACCCATTTGGGGTGGCCCGTCTGTCGGTCGGGGAGCGGAGGGCGCTGGCGAGCCCCGTCGGGCTTAAGTCAGGGAATCAGTCTCTCTCTCTCTCTCTCTCCCCCTGGCACACACATTCTTAAGCGAGGGAGCATCTTGGGATCACTTGACTCGGATCGCCCGTGCCTTAATTGTTTATCGATCCCGACCCTGCCTTCCTCCCCTGAGCAGCACGCATTGGGGGCCGCCGGGACTCGAGGAAAACGCGCCAGCCGAGCAGCAGCCCCAGCCGGGGGTCCGGCCGAAGCGCCCCGAGGGGAGCCAGCCACACAAAAGCCGCGGCTTGGCCGACCGGGAAGTTCTGCGCATGCCCCTTGGAAATCCGCGGGAGCCGAGCCCGGGCGCTCCGGCGCAGCTCCTGCGCATTGGAATGAGACTTGCGCGAGAGAACTTCCCCAGGCCTGCCCTTTCACATTTACCTCTTAGTCGTACTAAGTTTTGTGGGGCTTACTCCCAAATAAGTGTGCATGGGATAGAGCCATGCAGCCTAAAGATTTGTGCGCTCCAGGATAACGGGCTTTTAGACGTTAAAAAGCGCATGTATCCTCTACCCGCCCCAGTTCTTTGGCAAAGATTTCTGCTGCTTGGAGCATGCGATCTTTTTGAATTCTCTCTTGCAGGTCTTCAGTCCCTTCCCTTTAGACTTCTTTTGACCACAGCCTTGAGCCCAGGGCCTCAGGCAGCAGGATCCGCGGGGGCAATAGGTATTTTATTCCTCCCCTGCCCCTTGTTCCTGATGTAGATCCTTCACACCTCCTTCCCAAAATGTCTGTGACCCTTTGTCTGTGTTTTCTTAATTTTGTCATCTAGTGCAACTCTGACTAGTGGGCTTTCTTTCTTCCACCTGCAGAAGTTCCAGTTTTACAACCCCTTTAAACTTGCTTATCACAGTATAGCACACGAAACTGAACAGTAAAAAGTTAAATATTTTTGTACTGTAAAAGTATAGCCGCTATAAGAATTTTGTTTTGCAAAAATAAAAAAGTTTTTGTTTGAATATTTTCCCTTAAAAAAATCCCAGTGTACACTCATACCTTGGGGTACAGACGCTTCAGGTTGTGGTTTTTTTGGGTTACGGACGCGCCAAAACCCAGAAGTACCGGAAGAGGTACTTCCGGATTTTGGCGATTGCGCATGCACAGAAGCGCCGAATCGCAACCCGCGCCTCCCGCACAGATCACGTTTGCAACCCAAGCGTCTACTGTACTGTACATTTGGGGGGGGGGGGCACTAGAGAAATCTGAAATTATGTAAGTTGCACGTTTATAAGTAGACAAATATTGTTACTCTGATGCTTAGAGACTTCTTGTGTTGATATTCTTTCATACGCTTCCTGTCGTACTCTCCCAAAGTGGGTGGGGGGAGATATGCATGGTATCCATCCCCATATTATCCTCATAACGACCATGTTAGGTAGACAAGACACTACATGTTGATGCTGCTGTCATCACATTTCAGTTTTAGAGTGATAGTTCTATTCCTTTATTTCTTTCAATATATTTAGTAAAAAAAGGGGGGAGATTTATATTTATGCTGCCTTTCAGGGTAGAAAAGCTCTTGAACAGTGACTCACGAAAGTAACATTAGAGCTATTTATAACTGATCCCAAATCATGTACTGTAACTGACTTACAAATAAGATCTGCTAATGAGGAACCCTTAAAAATGCATGATGTGTTTAAATGCTGTGGATATGATGAGCAAATCAAATTTTGCAGGAACCATTTTAGTCAGGGCACAGCCTATGGATTCAGCAAATGCTGCTGTATATGTTTGAGATGAAACAATTCTCTAGTGTACTGTCAGATCCATGTTGGAATTAAGCATTCTAAACACTCAGTTTAACTCACCTTCCCTCATAAACTTGTGCGGGGTAGACATTTTAATTACAAATGAAAAAACACAATGTACAATGTGAAATGCGTACGGAGTGGAGTGGAGAGGTCAGCATTCAGACAGCAATTTTTAATGAGAGAGCAGGGGTGATGCAACTGTCCCTGTTTATATCTCTGGAATGTTGGAGAACATACGAAGAGAAAGGAGCACAGACTCAAAGACTGTTTAGCCGGAATAGAGGTGCTTAGAAAAAGTCACAATTAATCTGTATCTGGGACCTTTATTCATAAAGGCTTAACTCAAGCATTTATGTCTTTCAACATAAATGGGCATCAGTGATTCTGTGTGGTAAACCTGTGTCTGGGCTGCACACCATTTCAGACTGGAGGTGGGGATTCGCACAGTGGAAAGCTGCGACTGCTTTTGAAGATTTTAAGAACAGCATGCCAGAGAGAAGGTAAGCTGGAGACCACCTTGTTGATGAGCTTTTTACCTGCCAGCAATTGTATTCGTGTGGGTGAGCATTCCATCGTGTGAGCACACACATGTACTGTAGTCTGAACTAATATAGCCCATTGAGAAGTAGACCCAAATGCTTATTGCACAACTGGATCCACAAATCCATGAAACCAAGAACAAAAATGTGTACATGGTGTGCTCTACTTAACATCATGGTTTACAATGTTTATTCTACACAAAGCCAACGAAAAGTCAAAGGAGAAAAGAGTTTTTCTAATGATATGCATGCAAGGAATCAGTTCTATAGCCTAAACAGATAAATAAACGAACCTATGAGGCACTTACTTTTAACACTATATTGTAGGTTATTATGGAAATTTATGAAAAAGCGGCAGAATTCTTGGACTGAATGACTGCAGGAAGAGCATTTGCATTTTTAGTAGTCTCCAACATAAAAACCAATGAACAAACAAAAGGAAACTAGTATTGGTGGTTGACGTTCAAAACGGGGGTGATTCAGATGTGTCCTTTCCAATTCTGGACCCCTGAGCTGAGTACATTATAAGTGGAACCCAAACCCACTTCTGAATGCTGGACTTGGCCCAGGCATACAACAGGCTATTCCACCCCACCATGTCTACACAGTCACCTCCTTCGCTTTTCCATTCAGACTTTCCTGGTGGCAGTGGCAATGTCAGCAGCAACAACAGGTAGGTTTCACGGCAAAACTTCCATAACATTCCTGAACAGTGTTCTAGGCACAAAACAAACAATGCAAACCATGTCTCATAATGTCCTACCATAGATTGCTGCTACTGTTTGATGCTTCCACACAGGGCATTGCATGAGCGTCAACTGGTGTTTTTGCCATTCTTTTTAATCTTTTGTGGTGGGGGTTTTGTATACATTTTCTACTAGCGGAGACCTCCCTGTCAAGTAACTTTAAGAGAAAGGAAAGCAGGTGTGTGGTGACTCATGATGGGCATGGGGGGTAAGGGATATTTTTGTGGGGGAGATCAGGGAGGCCTGCAATCTGTGGACCTAGACGTGCTCCTGACGATACCACTGGGAAACCTTTTTAAAAAGACTGAAATCCTGAAACTTTGGGTCAAACCCTGACTTCTGGCAAACCTACTGGAACATGAGAGTCCTGAGGCCACCACAGTGGCTGACTTGAAAGGTTCCATGAAAAAATGCATTGATCAAACATAGCAGAACATCTTTCTTAATTAGATTCTCCTGCCAGGAGAAACAGTTTGGTTTTCCTGTTTAATGAACTTCTTTCTTTTTGACTTCATACCCTATGGAGAGCCTGATAAAGGGGTGTTGGCAGAAACAACAAAGATTATGATATGAGAGGTGGAAAAAATCCTCAAACAAAAGCTACATCTGCCATGTTATATTTCTGCCAAATTTAATTAAAAAGAATATCCTCCTTTTAAAAGCGAGAAAATCTCCATTTTGGGAATCAGTCAGCAGAACACGTTCTCTGACTCTTCTTGGAACAATGAGTAATAAGGATCTCATCTTAAGCTTGCTTTGGGCATTGTAGTTGAAAACATAATGTCATAAAAGAAGAGCCAATCAAAAACATTCTATAAATGCTGGGAAGCAGCTCCCTGCTTCTCATATACTGCATAACAGTCCTCACAATACACCCATTTTTGAAGCAGCGCCTTTCAGTGGCAACACAACTTTCATTTTCACGGCAGGATGCCACAGGCAAACTGGAGTTTGAAATATGTATGCCAGTCACATGCAAACACACTTCAATGTGCTGGAAAAGCAGCTGCTTGTTTGTGATTTCCAGTATTCTACATGGCTGAGTCCTGTTCATAAATCTAAAACTATAGAAAGCAGAGCCAATATATGCCTCTCCAGCCGAATAGCTTTGCTACTGCTTACGTACTTTCAAAAAGCAAAAGGCACTCCATCTCAGAGGTCTCTGCTAGTAGTAATGGTGGTTTGGCAACTTGAAGAAGAAAAACAAGCTAAAAAGAAACCTCAGCAGGGAATAATCAGGACCCAGCTTGTTAAATATCCATATTGCACAGCTATTAAACAATGGACTGGCTTTTTTGAAGTTGTGAGATTGGATCAAAGAAGGCTGGTTCCATGAATACTGCCTCAAGATGGTGAAATTAGGAAAATGAAAATTTGTAGTACATTTATAGAAAATCCGTTTGGAGTGAGGAAGCGCAATACATAGCCTCTTACTCAGTTGTCAACCTCACCTACTGTCCACACTGAACTGTATACCCTGTTTACGCAAATGAGGTTCTGATGACCAAAGTACAGAAGGATAATTGTTGCGACTGGCTCTAAAGAAATGTAATCCTGTAGGAAAATCTACTGTTCTGAAGGAAGCAGGGCCCAATCCAACCTGCAATCAGGCCAGCATGGTTCCAGAATGCCAGAAGGTTGAGATGTATCTGCAAGGCAAAGGTGAGTCTGGTGTAATGAGCCTTGAAGCAGTTAATTGCCCCTTGATCCAAAGGCTAGATGAGTTTAAAAAAGGGGGGTAAAGGACCCCTGGATGGTTAAGTCCAGTCAAAGGCAACTATGGGGTACAGCGCTCATCTTGCTTTCAGGCCATGGGAGCCGGCATTTGTCCACAGATAGGTCATGTGGCCAGCATGACGAAACATCTTCTGGTACAACAGGAGACCGTGACGGAAGCCAGAGCACATGGAAACACTGTTTACCTTCCTGCTGCAACGGCACCTATGTATCTACTTGCACTAGTGTGCTTTCAAACTGCTAGGTTGGCAGGAGCTGGGACAGAGCAACGGGAGCTCACCCCGTCATGCAGATTCATACTGCTGACCTTCCGATCAGCAAGCCCAAGAGGCTTGGTGGTTTAGACCACAGTGCTACCCTTGCTGGATGAGTGAAGACGTATGGGGAGGGGAGCAACTGTGACATCTTTGTGTGGAAATTACAGTCCCTGTGGGTGACTAGGAGCATTATCCACCAGCACCAGGAGCACTTTGAACTCCAGCTGCTTCTCCAGCAGGTAACATTTCACCTCCCGGCTGAAGTGTTGTGGACCCAGTCCAGAAAGCTTTCAGCAATCACCCAGGACTTCTTGCTGGACTGCCTGTAGACAGGCAGCAGGTTCTTGTTCTTGCCTTTGAGGGCTCAGTGGATTATGGGCCTGTACAGCATGCCTGGCTTGATCAGGTGCCCAACCGCATTGCCACAGAGCAGCACAGTCCCCTGATCCTTCGCAACTTTAAATCCGGGGGCTGCCTTCTCTGCTTTCGCAATGTAAGTGCCTCAGTCATCTTATTCCAGAACAGGCCCATTCCGTCTTCGTTGAAGACCCACTCTGGAAAATAGCCCTCTTGCAGCAGCTTCTTCAGCTCCCTGGGGTCTGCTTCCGCAGCCTCTGTGTCTGCAGGTGCAGCTTCGCCAGTGATGTGGAGCTTCTTAGGTTGAAGCAATCATTGAAGCAGTTCAACCAACCAGAGCTGGCTTAGAACTCCTTCACGGCCCACTCCCCCTCTTCAGTAGCAGACTTGAAGTGCACATACAGATGGAGAACCTTCTTCGCAAGGTGTTGCCATCAGTGGGGACATGCTGGCAGTTCATGTCCTCTAGCCACAGGGTCAGCACCTTCTCTGTCTTCACCAGAACTTTGTTCCACATGTAGCTGATGACCTTGGCAGTTGTAGGTGCACTCTCTACCACTGCTGCCTGGATTTCTTTCTCGGGTATCTTGATGGCATGGTTGCTGGACTCATTTCTACCATACTTACATGCCAAGAAGAAGAAGTAGAGTTTGGATTTGATATCCCGCTTTATCACTACCCGAAGGAGTCTCAAAGCGGCTAACATTCTCCTTTCCTTTCCTCCCCCACAACAAACACCCTGTGAGGTGAATGGGGCTGAGAGACTTCAAAGAAGTGTGACTAGCCCAAGGTTACCCAGCAACTGCATGTGGAGGAGCAGGGAATCAAACCCGGTTCACCAGATCACAAGTCCACCTCTCTGAACCACTACACCACACTGGCTCTGCACACATAATCACGCCTTCTTGTAAGAAATCCAGCACTTCCAGTTTCTCCTCCTGTGTGGGCACTACTCATTGCTTCTTGGGTTTGTCAGTACCTGAGGAAGGTGACGATGCCTTGATTTTAGGTGGCATCTCAAAAAAGGCTTAAAAAATTATCCAATAAACTCAAAAGAGTTTTGCAAAGAGACAAAGGGAAATTGCGCCTGTTGGTCTCTACTCTGACCTCCACAGTTTGATTGTACACAGGGGTCTGCATAGCTCTCTGGATATATAAGCTGTATTTTGCATAAATGGAGAATACAAATTTCACATGTTGAGGTATAGACACATATTTAATTATTTTGGCCTAATAAACCATGGTTTGAAGCTGATGTAAGTTTGTTCTGAACCCGCTATCCATTGTTTTCTGGTTCACATGTGATGGGAAACAACGGTTAATTATGCAGGAAGTGCCTTACAGCATGCTGAGAAGAGCGGAAGTATGGGGCAATGCAAAGATCATACATACCATAGCTTAATAAACTAAGAAAAATATGTCTAAACCAGGCCAGTCCCTGCAGGTCAACATAGTTGTAATCTATAGCACTGCTTTTTGTGGCTGAAAAAATACAACAAAAAGAGATTCTAGACTTCTTAACAACAAGAAAAGAATTTATTTGTAAAAGACTTTGGGTACTGTCCAATGTCAGTCATACTCAGAGTAGATAATTTTATAGCAATGGCTATAAAAGTAACTTAAAACCATTTATTTAAATTGACCTACTCTACGACTTAGGATTTAGTCCTAACTCCACTTATTGAGGAGTAAGCCCCATTGAGTTCAGTAGGATTTCTGAGATTATATTGTTAGGATTGCTTTGTTAGTTGGGTCCTCTGAGTCCTAGACTGTGGTACAGCAACGATGGAATTTGTATCACATTTATTACTTACATTAACAAGCCTGTATTATGATTTGCAAGTACTTGTTTTTACCAACTGCTCTCCGATACTGTTCTATATCCACATTTTGGGAGAGTTAGTTATAATTTGATGCTCAAGTTTCCCTCAGCATTTTCCTTCCCATGCTTGAGCTTATGTTTATCTCATGTTTTGAAAGAGATTCAGCTTCATCTGTTTTATACTCCAACATCGTCATCCTTCCTAAACAGCTTCATTTGAGCAGAATCCTATTATGCCGATACCGGTGCACACATGTCTATATAGGAATCATTGAATAAGAGTGTGATCACACTGTAAATACTTTATTTTCTGACACTCGTTTTCTTCCCTGTGGTGGTGACTTTAAATTGATGTGAGGCTGTCAACATCCCTTCGTGGCTCAGGGATGGGGGTGGAGAGAAGTGATCTGTTTAAGTGAGATTTAGAATTCACTGTCCATCACTGTCCATATTACAACTCCAACATGCTCTGGACATGCACTTGGTTCTATTAATCCTTCCAGAACAATATTCCCCTGACACTAAGGTTTTGAGGCAATAAAATAGAAATAAAAATCCTTCAATTCCTTTTCACAGCAACATCCATTCCTTTTCATTTATATATTTCTGCAGAACACAACACTCTAGTCTAGAGAAGAATATTCTGTGAAACTCGGAGAGTTTGATAGGCTCACAAATGAATAGCAATCATGTTTGAATGGAAGCATTCAAATTAATTCAGCATTTTGAGAGAGCTAAATAGTTATTTCTTCAACCAGGCTGGGTCTTGACCTTTGTTAATTTACCCTCCACTCACAGTAAACACATTTTAACAATCTTTGTCCTTCAACGGAAATGAACCACAAACGTATTCTCAGTCCTGCTTTTCAAAAAATTACAGCGTTTGGAACTTAGATGAATAGTGACTTTGACAGCTATAGTGTGATCTTTCCCCCCAAGCTTCATTCTTCTATGAGCCAGGCAAATATTTACCCGTATAAAAAACCACATGGTCGTCATATATTCATGTACACAACGTGTATTCATTGTTTGTAGGCCAGTGCTCCTGTTTATGGAAAAATGATATTGCAGCATGTACAGGAGTGTGCACACCTCATCCTCAGAACTTTCATGCACCTGGTGACCACATGAAAGCAGTCTGGTATAAATTGGAACTCCACATGACCATTATACATTCAAGTACGTTCTATTTCTGCAACTACATCCTGTGATGAATCCCTAAATTCTGATCAGAACAGCAGTGTTGGCTAGAGCATCTAGACTCCTACTGAGAACCCTGGTGTGACAGCAATAATCCTCTTACCCAGTTTAACCCATTTTTTATGGTAGCCCAGCTGTTCTGAACTGAGTTGCTGTTTTGTAATGGAAGTTCAAATCCATTGGAAAGGTGGGACCATCCTGCAAGTAAATTTCTGATTGGACCATTTTCACCTGATATCGAGTATTTTCACCATTGGTTTACTCCACTATCTACAAAAGGAGGCAGGTTTTTCCTTTGGTATGTGAGGCCCCATCTCACTCCCTTTGTCTTCTTTGGACCTATGTGAATCAAATGGCCAGAGATGCTCTACAAGGGACTTCATGGACAATCTTTTCTATAAGGAACTTTGACCACAAATTGAAACCTAAGACTCTACTCAAAACAGATAAAAGGAGTTACAGTGGTGCCCCGCAAGACGGAAAACCCGCTAGACGAAAGGGTTTTCCGTTTTTGAGTTGCTTCGCAGGACGAATTTACCTATGGGCTTGCTTCGCAAGACGAAAATGTCTTGCAAGTCTTGAGATTTTTTTCCCGCTTTTCGCCCTTTATCTAATCTGCTAAGCCTTTAATAGCCTTTAATAGCCTTTTAGCAGCTAATCCGCTAAGCCTTTAAGCCTTTAATAGCCGCTAAACCGCTAATAGCGCTAATCCGTTAAGCCGCTAATAGGGTTGCTTCGCAAGACGAAAAAACCGCTAGACGAAGACTCTCGCGGAACGGATTAATTTCGTCTTGCGAGGCACCACTGTAAATAGGGTGTGTGGGATGCTAGGGGAGGGGTAATACTTGTGGTGGGGGACACATTGTACTCTTTCTGGGGTAGTTTGTCCACCTTTGGTCCCATCCCTGCACTCAGCTCTCACCTGTGACTCCTAGAAGCTGTCAGCATGTGACAGAGGCCACACCCTGGGAAACGGTTTCTACTGGGCAGCTAAACCAAGTGAGGGTAGCTGATGGGTCTCAAACCCTCACTGAATTAGGGACTTACCTTGCTTGCAAAGACAGGCTCCAGTGGATTGAGTGGACAAGACCAATAGTGGGTCCAATGGTCAAAAAGGCCGTTGTAGAGGGAAGTGAGGGACAGATGGGGCTTGTCAACCTGGGAAGGCAGACCATCTAGGAACTCTGACCCTGAATCTCTGTTGCCTCATGGGATATCTTCAGGAGAAGAAAAGGCTAAGGAGTAAACCCTACACAAATCCTTGTATGCCTCCCTGTGGAAATTCCTGCAACCAAGCTGGCACCAAACATATTGCTCTGCTTTCCTTTGGACCTCAATAGGGAGGCTCAGAAGAGGGTCGTCTTGTCTGGGCAGTCTAGGACCTCCATACATATTGCCCAGGCTTGCGCCCCAGGGAGGTAGTCAACATGGCGCTTTCCCCTTCACACAAGACTGGAAGCACGGGGAAGGGCCCGTGAATCAGTCATATTTCCTTCTTTCACTCCATGGGTGTATCTCTCAAAAACACCCACGAACAGAAACAGATGTATACTTTCAAACGGAATCTATCCTGGTCTGTTCCAGAATAGGCCCATTTTGGTATTTAAT